TTGCCCCTCTTGTCCCGAGCTAACAATAAGTTTTTCTAGACTCTGCTTGATCGGCAGGTCAGACTGAGCAACGCTCCACTTCCTTGCCTGCCCGTTGCTGTGCTCAACTCTCATGTTTCACCCGTCATCTGCCTCTCAGTCTGCATGCCCATCGACCTCCTCGTCGACGGATCCGCCGATGGTACGGATCGATGATTCTGGTTTCCCCCCTCAATAGCCGTTGATGTTCATCGCAGGAAGGATCACTGTACACAGGATGTCAACGTCAGAGCATGTGAAGACCATCCGGTGCCCGAGCAAGTTGAGGATGGAGGTGTGAGAGCTCGGGAAGCAGAAATCTCTCCTCTGACTCCCCGTTCTTCTTCCTTCAGGTTGTGAGGATCATAGAGAACGGACTCCTGCTGGCGTACTCGCGCCAAGACAACTTGTTGCGTGCGTATGCACTGGCAGGAGACGAGATTGCAAGTTTCTCCTTCGGCTCCTCAGTCATGACTTGCCTTACTGCCTCCTCCTGCGGGAACTATGTGTTTGCCGGTGAGTTCAATCCCCTGGCTTCCTCCTACTCATGATCGTCCGCAACAACCTGGCCTTCCCTCCCCTTCCTCCACAAAGCAAGCGGGTCGATCTTTCAGTCTGATAGTTGTTTGTAGGTGAATCGACAGGAAATATAAGGATCCTCGAGGTTCCCTTCCTCTCCGAGCTACAAACTCTCTCCCCTACCAACAGCACAGGTCTTCAATCACGACAGATCTGACTAGACGGAAAGCTGATGACGTGTGCTCAGGGCGCGTTGACTTCATCGTGCTCAGCCCATGCAACAACTACTTGCTGTGCGGCTATAGGAGCGGACATGTCGAGCTTGTTACAGACAAGGGACAACTATTGGATCAAAAGAAAAAAGCGTTGGAGGATCTTGGGATATATGGACTGCTGTGAGAATGTGATTTCACTCTTGTTTATGTACAGAGAAGAAAAGAGGTAACTCTACATCATAACATTGCTCCACTTCATCAATTGTATTCGAAGTCCATATTGTGGTGCTTGTCGTATACTTCAGGATTTCGCTTGCTCCATGGCTTGGTGAGCTTGGCATGGTGACTCACTTTGTTGTGATTGGTCTGCTTGCTTGCGACAGCAAACTTTTCACGGAGGAACTGACTTTGCTTGGACTGCTCCTTGAGGATCTTAGAGATGACACGAGGAAGGTTCTGCAGAAGCTTGGCAGGCATGTCGATGCGATCAAATCAAACGAAAATCAAGAACACGAAGGGTAGACGATCGGGATGGGTTTGGGTCTTGCAGAAGACTCAGAGGGCTTGTAAGAAGATCGAAAAAGATAGGAGGGAGGGATGGAACCTCGTAACGAAGGAAACCAGGGAGGTGGGAGGAGAAGGTTGAACTTGGTAGGCGAAGGTCAGGCCATCGCTTTTATAACCCCACACAGGGAGCAACTTCTGCAGGGTAGGGTAGCCTTTGGCTAGGGGTAGTAAGTGTGAAGAAGGGAACAAGGAAGGGTGTAAGTCTAATTCAATGATAGTCCATAGAGGGGTGTGTTTGCAGACTAGCTCGATTTGTATGGGGTGGGTACTCAAACCTTGGGGTGCGATAGAGAGGGGGGGTGGGGACTTCGGGTACAAGAATCGTCACTTTGCTCCAAATTTTAAAAGAGGAAAAATAGTTATAATTTTCAAAACATTTGAAGTCGATGCTCTATCATCGTCTCAATTGAAACTTCAAAACAAATATTTCCGAGGATGTATCAAATGTTTATATCATCATTGTTACATTTACATGTGCCCATCTTTGTGGCGGTTGCATTCGAAACAAAGTCTTTTTCTGCTCTTTTGAAATTGAAAACTTTCATTTTCCGATTATATATATAGATATAACAACAACACACGAATAATTTAAAAGGTTTTCTTTTGAAGATTTCTAAATTTGTATTTATACAATGTTTTAGAAACATCTTTAGATCTTTCTGTCAGCGGCCCCACCTCTATAAATTCATTTTTAAAAACTTCTACCCCTCATCCCCCCACATCCTTTCTGAGTTCCTTCTCAGATTCCTTCTGGTTCCTTCCAGGGTTCCTTCTGCAGTTCTTTATTGCGCGAGGCAGCACCACGACACCAACTAGTAGGGGCAAGGGTGGGGGTGGGGTCCAGTAATGGGAGGGTAGGGTACATCACACACCCGCCTTTATTCCCTCCAGAAATATAACATATGAGGGGTACACATGAAAATAATGCTGACTGCAACTCTATAGGTGGGGTAGTCATTAGAAGGGCATGGTGGAATTCATGTGCGCTCCTCGAGTTCACCAAGTGCACTTGCTAGATCCCATATAGCTCGATGCACATGCTGGGAGACGGATCAGCGACGACATGCAGTAGGGAGGGCAAACCTGTCGTTGACGGCACAAGCAACATAGTGCTAGGTACCAGGAACGACCTTCACTGTTCTGGGACAGTCTGGCCAGCCGCACATGCACTTTTCTCCTACCTGCGATCTCATGACATGTATGGAAAGGCGGTGCTCGAGTTAGGATCAGGCACGGGTTGGTTGGGTCTACAGCTGGGACGCGTTTTCCCTGAATCACACCAAGTCTGCACAGACCATCCAGACTACATGCATGCACTCATTGAAAGCTTGTCTGAAAATTCACTCCCCAACGTCGAAGCTCGCGAACTTGACTGGGCGGCGCCATGGCCTGACGAAGAGTTCAATAAGTTCACCATGGTGATAGGGTAACCGATGATTTGCCTAGAGCACAGAGAAACACTGATGCCTCATTTCGCAGGTCGGATCTTGTTTACAATGTCTATCTGACCAAGGTGTTAGCAAGTTGTTGGCGGAGAATTCTGGATGCTAGCAGCAACGTGCGGATAGTATACGCCCACATGCTGCACCGCTGGCAGGATGCCGGTGTGGATTGGCCGTTGCACGAGGCGTGTGTATCGCATGGCATCGGTCTGCACGTGTTGGAAGTGAACGGATCGCAGAGATCTGAGGACCGTAACGTGGACGAGATTCCCCAAGGTCAGTTCCCGGTCATCTTCCAGGTTCGATCAGGAGAGATGCCCAAGTACTCCACCGCCCTGCTCCGGTCGGCCATCACGCAGGCAGAGATGAGGAGCATGCGGGAGTGGGAGATGGCAGACGAAGACGAGCGATCGGACATTCTGATGGCAGCAGCCATAGCAGAGATTGAATGGTGATCCCAGCGGGCAAGCGTTGCCATTGGGCTATGCGATGAGTGTGTCAAGATATGGTTTCATAACCAACTCATCAGAAGTGATGAGGTCTTATTCGACGAGATGTTCTCTTGCTTTGTCTGGTTCCGACAGTCCGAGCGCTACCAAGGCGATCTGGTCAGGAACCGCTACAATGCAGCTTCCCTGGAGTTTTATGAGGCAATGACAACAGTAGCGTTCTCGTCTCTACTTGCTTAAGAGGAATGTATTGAAGAACAGAAACACGGGTTGGAGACAGTTTTGTAGCACTCGAAGGACAATCTTTACATTTTAGTTTTCAATTCACGTGATAGACATCACACTGCTGCAGCCACACCTTCAAGTGAATAAACACATCCTGTCTTGTGTATGAAACTGGAAATCAGATGTCGAAGTGTCACTGGAAGAAGAAGTAACAAAGTATATAGCGTCTTTGCCCCCTTCAACCTAGTCAAGCTCATCCATCAGCAATCCGCGCTCTAGCTCCTTCAACGTGCCTGATCCACCAACTCGCCACAAGCCCCATGCCACAAATTTCGATGTTGTCTTCGGACGACACTAGTACAATTCCAATATGCCCACAAACACCTTCCAGTCCCAGTTATCCCAGCAGCGCTGCTTGATTCAGGTTGAAACATTCTTTTCAGTGAAATATATCCCTGCCATGTTTCGATTGTACTGCTCCAAGGGAAAAAATGCACAAGTCGACGTACCCGCCGCGTCGCTGTAGTACCCTACTCCACATGCTGTGCAAGCCGACGTACCCGCCGCGTCGCTGTAGTACCCTACTCTACATACCGTGCAAGCCGACGTACCCGCCGCGTCCTTGGCTGGATCGTATTGTAACATGGATGGCCTTGCAGCTGTCTCGGGTGGCTGTGACGCTGGTTACTATTGCTCATTATCGGGAGGACTCGAAGCACGGCCGAACGGAACAACTTCAGGTTTCGGTCCTTGCCCACCTTGTCCGGTTGGAACTGTGCAACCAATCAGTTGTCCACCAGGAACATTCTCTGGGGTTGTATTGTACTGAGTGAAACTGCAAATGATTGCCAAAGCTGCTCGGCACGATACTTCTGCCTACAGAGAACACCAGCATACCACAAACTTGTCCAGAGGGATTCTACTGTCCATCATGAACGATTAATCCACGTAAAAATGACTGTCCGATTGGCAGTGAATGTCCCGCAGGTCGGTTTTATCCCAAACCATGCAATGCAGGTTACTACCAAGATCAAGTAGGCCAGAGCGCCTGCAAGGTGCTGTCCTATGTCCGTCGGGGTCCTACTGCCCTTCTGGAACCAGCGTTGCACATCCTTGCAGCCCCGGGACATACGGGCCTTCACCAGGGCTGGCCGCTTGCCAGGGGTGCCCGAGCGGGAAAGCATGCGTACAGCCAGGGACCATCACGCCGACGGTATGTCCGCGGCAGGATACTACTGCGAGTCGAACAGCTCGTCGCCTACTCCGAAATGACGCAGTCTCAAAGACTCTTTGCGCCCATATCCTCCAGCATTTCCTTAATTGAACATGGAATACTCTGATCGATCGTGGCATCTCGAAACATTAGTTCGTTGCCGAAACAATTGAGATCAACTGAGAGAAGAAAGCATCCGTCACTTAAACGCGACCAGCACTTGAAACAATGATCATCACGAGAAAAAGAAAACAAAACATCTGCATGCCGCCCCCAGCTCACATCACTGACGATTCCTTTATGCCCAAAAAGAGCCTGACACCTCCCCGTCTCTACCTCCCACACCCGTATCTTCTTGTTGTATCCTGTTGACCAGGCCGCGATCCTCCTCCCGTCCGGACTCCAGCTCACGTCGCTGACTGTATCTCCTTCAGCCTCCAGCACCTGACACCTCCCCGTCTCTTCCCACACCCGTATCTTGCCTCCGTCGCCTGATGACCTTGCAGCGATCCTCCTCCCGTCCGGACTCCAGCTCACGTCGCTGACTGTATCTCCTTCAGCCTCCAGCACCTGACACCTCCCCGTCCGAAGCTCTACCTCCCACACCCATATCTTCTTGTTGTATAAATAGGACCTTGCAGCGATCCTCCTCCCGTCCGGGCTCCAGTGCCAGCTCATGTCGCTGAGTTCATCTCCTTCAGCCTCCAGCACCTGACACCTCCCCGTCTCTACCTCCCACACCCGTATCTTCTGCCCGTCGCCTGATGACCTTGCAGCGATCCTCCTCCCGTCCGGACTCCAGCTCACGTTGCTGACTGTATCTCCTTCAGCCTCCAGCACCTGACACCTCCCCGTCTCTACCTCCCACACCCATATCTTCTGCCCGTCGCCTGATGACCAGGCCGCGATCCTCCTCCCGTCCGGCGGACTGCAGCAAACACTACTCCAGCCCACGTCGCTGACTGTATCTCCTTCAGCCTCCAGCACCTGACATCTCCCCGTCTCTTCCCACACCCGTATCTTGCCCCCGTCGCCTGATGACCAGGCCGCGATCCTCCTCCCGTCCGGACTCCAGCTCACGTCGCTGACTGTATCTCCTTCAGCCTCCAGCACCTGACACCTCCCCGTCTCTACCTCCCAGCCTGTCCATGCCCGTTTTTTTTTTTGCACTGTGAAAGTCACTTCGTACCCACTGTCAGCTATTTCCATTGATTCTTCGACATCAGTTTGAATTTGAGTTACTATCTTCTTACCATCTTGACTCCATTTCACGTCCGCGATCTCTCCTTCAAATTCCTGCAGCACCCTGCTGCAACTTCCTGTTTCTACTTCCCATATCTGTAACTGAACGGTTTCATAATCTGATGAGTCTTCATTTTCTGATTCTGATTCACTCCAAAGGTCTGAATCTGAATCAAACATGTCTGAGTCCTCGTCACTGTCTAGCCAAGAGTCAGAATCAGACTCAGATTTTGACCAGACAGCAAGCCTCTTCCCGTCTGGACTCCAGCTAGCAACCTTTGCCCCTTCCAAATAGCTGAGAAGCTCCTGATTCCTCCCAGTCACTACATCCCAGATCAATATCCTCCCGTCCGGGTCTGAGTCCGAGTAAGTTGCAAATTTTGTTTTTGATTTCTCCCAAGTCATCTTTTCGAAGAAAACATTTTTGTAAGAGAATTCAGTGTTACGTGGTTTCTCGTACATCGGTAAAAATTTATGACCCCACGTTTGCTCAAGAAACGAAGCACACCATCATCATTCAGCGAAATACACAGACCTTCCCCTTGTTTTGAGATGCTCATGATATCCGAGGAATGTTGAATCGATCTTAAGCATTCCTCCAGTGCAAGGTCCCAGACTCGCAGCATCTTCTTGGGATTCGAATGAACCGTAACGAATGTCCTTCCTTCTCGACTCCAAATGATTCGATCAACCTGAAATCCATGTCCCACCACCACTTGACACCTCCCCGTCTCTACCTCCCACACCCGTATCTTCCTTGAATATGACCAGGCCGCGATCCTCCTCCCGTCCGGACTCCAGCTCACGTCGCTGACTGTATCTCCTTCAGCCTCCAGCACCTGACACCTCCCCGTCTCTACCTCCCACACCCGTATCTTCGCCCGTCGCCTGATGACCTTGCAGCGATCCTCCTCCCGTCCGGACTCCAGCTCACGTTGCTGACTGTATCTCCTTCAGCCTCCAGCACCTGACACCTCCCCGTCTCTACCTCCCACACCGTGATTTGATGTTTTTGCTCAGTCCGAGACCAGGTCGCGATCTGCTGCTCTCTTGGTGACAATTTTCGATCATAATGAATGGGAATCGATATGTCTGTTCTTTTAGTACACCCTTTTGTCATGAGATCTACCGTATGTAGATAGCACTTTACGCAATTTGTTGACCATGTGATGTTTCCGTCAGCTCTGAAATTCATATCTCGGATCGCTCCGTTGTTTCCTTTTACTTCAAAATAACATTCTTCTGTTTCGATATCCCATACTTTGATTGAGCCCTTGCTCGACACACATGCCAAGCTCTTGCCATCAGCCTTCCATTTCATTTTCTCAATATCTTCATCAAACCAGGATTCGAGCTGCACATTGCAAATTCCTGATTTTACATCCCACACAAATATGGATCCATTACTTGATTTGGTCGCTAATTGTTTTCCTTCAAGATCGAATACCCCGTGTTGTACATCCTGACCCATGAGGTTTACAACTGGCATTTCTCCAAAGAAAGCACCATCTAGACGAGCTCCTTCAAGCATGGATTCCACAAAGTATCCGTGACTTGCGTCTACACCCGACAGATCTGCTCCCTTCAGGTTGGTCCGGTGAAAGATTCCGTTGCTCAAGATTGCGCCTGCAAGTCTCACTCCATGAAGGTCCAAGCCTGAGAAAGGCACGCTCGCGGCCACCAAGATCGTAGCCGCATTGGCTGAGGCTCTTGCAATTGTCTCAAGCTCGCAGTGCCGCGAGGCTCTGATCACGTCAAATAGTCGTTCTATGTACTTGGGTTTGCTTCGCAGCACCATTGCGTGCTCTTTGATTGACTCTATTTCGTCTCGCAGGTTGTAGACAGTCAGACCCTCTGGCACGATATCGTTTTCCTCGCCCACACCAGCGCGAAGCTCCTCAAAGGTATTCTCGGCAAGGAGAAACTCCGCACAGTGTCATGCACGAAGCTGACCTCCAGAATATCTCCAAGCTTGTTTGTCTTGAGTCGTGTCAGGCAGCCTCTGAGCAGCCAGTATCCCAACTCCTTCTCCACGTGGCCTTGCCTCATCGACAGGTTGAAAGGAGGTTCTGATAGGAAGATCCCCCCTGACTTGTGTCGTATGATGATGTTACGTTGCCTGAGCATGTGAAGACAGAGCTGTTGAGCAGCTCTTGAGTACCAGCGAATGTAATTTCCATCATCAACCTCGGCCTGCTGCGCCAACTCTGCAAGCTTATGATTTTGCTTCAATTTGTCCCACTCTCTTCTATACCACTCCTTGGCGTACTCCTTGTACATGCTGTGTCGTGTAATCATGGATTTTGGCTTGTTCATTCGTTTGTAAAATAGTCCAGGAAGCACAGTAAGCATCACCTTCAACGAGTAGGGTGTGCTTATAATGCTTTTGAGCTCGGGATTTGATTTTAATGCCTCTTCAAATTGCTCCATGCTCAATCCCTTGTGAGATCGCTTCATTACTTGGTCTTCGATGTATCGGCTGATTTGATCCTTCGCGTTCCAGCTCAGTGGACAAACCCAAGCGACTTGAAGGGCTTCCCTTCCCCCAAGCCCATGCGGCCAAAAGAGCGGGTCTGCCTTTCCTTCCATTTTCAGGTAGCCACTCCTACAAGTAACGATAACCTTGATGCCTTTGCTGACTGCAAGCTCCTTGAATAGCTTGTCGACAACATTCTCTGTCGTCCCCATCTCATCATAAGCATCCATTACGACGAAAAACGAGTGACGGCGAAGGAAATCTCTCCACGCCTGATCATTGACTGGCGATTTCTCAGGCCCCACAGCATCCTTCATGTATTCCTTTACACTTTTGCATCTCGGAAGATATAGATACACTGGGTAAGCTTTGTCTGCATGCCATGCTTCTCCCATCTCTATTACCCACTTCATGCCGATGGTTGACTTGCCTGATCCGGCCTGTCCGAGAAGCAGCAGGACACGCTTCCTTTTATCGTGCATGAAACTATGCAGAAGCTTTGAAGATGGCACACCTGGTGCTTGCCTGAACTCAGGATCCGAATCTGTGCAGTCAGTCTCAATAAAGCAATCGACCGCTTCGTCTACGCTCTCCGAAAAATCACCAAGTGTGTGCTTGATGATTTCACGGAGGTTTTTTGGTATGCTACCGTATGTCCACTCGACAACCTTACCCGATTCTAGATCCACTTTGTCTGCAAAGCCGTACCTATGACTGTGGCACCAGGCATTGATGATCATATTAGCCTTGTGAGGCATGAAAGGAGGACTTTGAGATGTGACCATGTGAATAGAGACTTTAGCCTTCTCTTCCAGCTGTTTTATGGTCTGAAAGTCTTCAAAGAAAACTCAATTGTATTATCTCCTGCTGTTTCCAGCTCTCCATCAGCAGTTCCGTGCACTCCAGTGTTGATATGAATAGATTGACCAAATGCACTCATTGCTTCAACGATCTCCTTGACATCTTCAGCACATACTGGCTGAGTATTCTCCCACAAGTGCTGACCAGAAGCAAGACTGAACACAAAGAATTTGCGATCCGTGGACCATCGGAGAACATAACGGCCTGGTAATGTCTCAATGAGTCCAAGCGCCCTTGCCTCCTTTTGCAAGTCGAACTTCCGTCCCAGAACCAGGTCATCACTATGAACCACAACTCCTCGTTTCTTACCACCTTGACCTAGGTCATGTCGAGATCGCTCTACTTCCTGCTCCAGCTCATCATCTTCCTCCCAGTGCTCACGATCTTGTCCTGCCCTCATCGCTCTTCAAACCTGCCCGTTACTAGAGGGGTTACCGGGCGTAGTACCTGGCGTAGTACTACACGAAGGGTCATGTGTTGTATGAGGGTCTTGGTCGTCCACTCCATAGGGAGAAGCTGGGGAGAAGCTGGGGAGAAGCCTTTGTTCCCTTCACTGCAGGTACGGATGGTCTCCTTCATGCTGACGCTTTGCGGTTTCTCTGATATCTGGCGGATCACCATGGAGCTACGAGCATCGTTACCGCGTACCAGAGCCGCCCGGCTCAAATAACCAGCGTGTTCTATCGCCGACCCCGGCCGATTCTTTTAACGAAAGCCGGGCAGTCCCCGGTCAAAGGCGATGGAGCGGGACGCCGAGCAGGCGCAGCGGGAGAAGCAGCTCGCGCGGGACCGGGCGAGGGAGCGGATCGCGGAGATGGAGAACCAGAGCACGGCGGAGGCGCGGATCAACCGCTCCTTCGAGCTGTACCCGCTCTCGCGCGACGAGCAGGAGACGTGCGCCGCCCTGCTGGAGCCCTGCAAGCAGACGTCGCTCCTCGTCATGCTTAAGAAACATAAATTACAGAAACAGATCATCAAGGTTCATGATATCATTGCAAGCTACATCAATTTCATCCTAGACAAATACAATATTCCTCGTGATGAATACACCAGAGAAGATCCCATGATAGGGTTCAAGGGCTGGCCTGATATCCGTAAGACAGAGCCCATGGACCTTGACCACCGGTTGCTTGATGGGCATGAGCTCGACCACGCCGTTGTCCCTGTTCCACTGCATGGCCTCGAGGTTCTTCATGAAGGGCTCGTCGAAGGAGAAGTACTCGAGGTTGAGCTCGAGGTTCTGGTTCGCCTGGTGCTCGGCCATAATTTTAGCCAGGCGCTGATATGCATAAATGTAGGTAGTATTTCCGGTAGAAGAGTAAGTTCCAACTGGACAGTAAGTGGTGTAGAAACCGGCATCAGCCTTCACATGCCTCATTAGCAGTATGCACGCCAAGACGAAGATAAAGGTCCTCCGCCCCAACATCATCCCCGACACTTGCAGTTCCCCAGCACTAACACTCTGAATACAACTGATATGTGTTAAGCACGCGACGTGCCCAGGCGAAACAGGTAGAGTTTAGGGTAGAGCGAGGGATGGGTAGAGCGCAGGGTAGAGCGAGGGATGGGTAGAGCGCAAGGTAGAGCGAGGGATGGGTAGAGCGCAAGGTAGAGCGAGGGATGGGTAGCGCGCAAGGTAGAGCGAGGAGGAAGGACCGAGCAAGTCGGAAGGCAAAGCCTTCAATCAGGGGATTGAACTAACGGGAGTAACGGGAGCGAATTTGATGCTTCGTTGGTGGGCGGGCGTATTAGAAAGTGACTCGACCCTCAAATTCCAATGTGGCCTTTGTTCAAGGTGATACGTCAACTAAGGTAACTTTCCCTTTGGGAAGCATTCCAAGCATATTTACGATATGTACAATTGCGCGGCATATTGCAAATGGGACATACGGTCGAATCTTTCAAGGCAACACTATCAATTGGCTACATGGGTGGTGGTTTGAAGAACCCGGAAATGGATATTCCATATACGATGACACTAGTACCAAATACATCAAAAATGGGGTTGCACATTATAATGGGTGGATGACAGAGTTTAATGCTTCACTTTTCAGCACTCATGATCATTGGATGATATTTTGTGGACAGAATAATGCTATACATCCGAAGAACATCAAAGCTGCAGAGATTAGTTCTGGCTATGTGATTTATGATGTAGGCACTGCAGACGGTGGATCGGGAAACACACAACTAGTCATTAACACTGGTGTATATCCCCAGGAAGTAAGTGATTTCAAAATGTCACAGGTTTACATATGGGATCAGACGTTAACATCCGACGAGATGGACAATGTGATGTATGCGATGATGCATTACCTGGACACAGGAAAGTCTCTCAAAACGTTGGAGTCGGCCAGCATTGCGCCGATATTTGGATGCTCGGCTTGTCCTGGTAACTATACTACAGTTGCCATGGGCTCATCGCTTTCACAGTGTGCATGCCTGGCTGGGTATTACGATGATGGATCTGGCACTTCAACCTGCTTGCAATGCCCTGCATTGACATCTTCATCCTTTGGTTCCACCTCATTAAGTCAGTGCGTGTGTATACATGGCTATTACGATGATGGAACTGGCATTCGCACATGCCTCCGCTGCCCCCACTTGACTACCACGAGGTCTGTCGGGGCGACTTCGCTCAGTCAGTGCGTCCCGTACGCCCCCCTCGTCAGCTACCAGTTCGAGGACCCAAACAACCTCGGGTATGACAGCTCTGGGAATGGGTATAATGCAACCAACTACGGAGCAACGCAAGGCCCAGGGAGGAGGGGAGATGGGGCGGCAAAGTTTAGCGCGGCTGATACAGAGCAGTACATGACAATGCCCAATAAGATTGATTTCGGGATCATTCAACAAAGCACAGGTTTAACAGTGGCTTTTTGGGGCTATATGACTACATTCTCTTCCATGTATGCAAGGTTCATCGATTTTGGTGGAGGACCAAACAATGAGAGCTTAGCAATATACCCCAACGGGGCAGCAACTGCGCCATTAACTTTCGCTGTGCTTGATGGCGCTACCCCGATTAACATCTCGTATGACTGGATTCCGCAATACTGGCACCACATTGCATTATCCATAAATCCCAATGATGGGTCGACGGATCAAAACAAGATTTCGATATGGATAGACGGTTTGCTGGTCTGTAATGCTTGTCAGCAAGGTCTACTCAGTTCAGTAACTACAGTATCATCTCGTCAATGGTACATTGCAAAAGCGAACAGAGCAAATGGAAAGACAGATGGTTCAATCGATGATTTCCGTATATACAACTACCCCTTCACCCAATTCGACGTCGAGCAGCACTACCTTCCCCTCTACTACCCCACCGGCTGCCTCTCGCAGTCCTACAACCCGAATGCCCTCTTCGCGTTCTACCCGGAGTTGGTGGCGAGTGCCAATTTCCCAGGGGTGGCGAACCTCAATGCCGCGGTCAGCTCCCCTCTCACCACCTTCGACGACGCATTCCGGCAGTTGGTTGCAAGTGACAAGTACGGGACGATCGTCTGGGTCTGTTATGATTGCGACTTGGCACACTGGCTCACGTTCTATAAGCGTATACTCCCTGTTGATCCGGACTGGAGCATGTCCCAGCAGTTTCTGTATCGCTGGATCGCGGACAGGAACACGCCGAATATTCATGTCAAGTTCTATACCAACGAGGCGGACTACCTCGCCGATAACTCGGCTACCTTGTTCGATCCGAGCTACTTCTCCATGACCTACGCCACAATCAGCACAAGTCCAAGTGTGGCGCCTACGGTGATCGATAGCAGCTATTCATACCTCACGTTTACGCATGTGAATGGTACGAGAACCAACTATTCCGTTACATTTCCCCAAGATACCGTGATTGATTACCTTATCATCGGGGGAGGTGGTGGTGGTGGGGCAAATGGAGGTGGAGGTGGAGGAGCTGGTGGATTAATCTACAAAACTGGTGTTTTGGTCAAGAAAGGAACGTAAGCTGTAGTTGTTGGTGCTGGGGGATCTGGATCACGGATAAATGATGCTTACAGCCAAGCGTCGTCAGGTCAGCAATCGTCTTTCAATGGAGACATTGCAGTGGGTGGAGGGTACGGAGGAACACGGGAGGTATCTTCAGGAGCTAATGGTGGCAGTGGTGGAGGAGGATCGAATTTAGGATTTGAAACTGCTGGTAATGGAAATTCGGGTCAGGGAAACAGTGGGGGAGCTGCTTTCGAGAGTTCTTGTGCTAGTGCGGGAGGCGGAGGCGGAAGTGCAGGCGGAGTTGGAACTCGAGCGAGTAGCAATCAAGGTGGAAATGGTGGTCCAGGACTGGCTGTGAGTATCACAGGGTCATCGGATGTCTATGCTGGAGGTGGTAGTGGCGGAGCCACTTGTACGCAGGCTGGTCAAAACGGGATGGCGGGGAAGATGGATCGGGGAGTTCCAACTATGGTGGTGGGGGCGGGGGTGCGGAGGTACCGGGTCGTATGTGATTGGACCCGCAGGTGATGACGGTCAACCAGGTGTCGTCATCCTCCGTTACCGCACGAATCACGAGGCCGTGTGTTTTTACTTGTTGAAGGATTGTCAGAGGTGTCAGGATGGGTTTCAGACGAATCAATCCCTCGCAACAAATCAGTCTCAATGCGTTTACATGGATTTTGTGCATCCCTGGTGTCCAGTTGGATTTTATTCATCCACGGGGTTTCAGGAAGCTCAAGATCAACGTTGCAATGGTCGTTGTCCTCAGGCATGGTATGGTAATACTTCGCAAAGTCCTTTTGGAGGTTTAGATCGTTCACTCACAGCTACCTATGGACAACATTTATTTATGGCTAGTGGTTCTAAAGTTTGGTTGCGAGTAAATTTTTCAGATATCGTTACCATTACAAATGTTCGATGGTGGCCTAGAACGGACTATCCTATGTGGGCAAGTGGTGAAATCTGGCTTGGAAATATATCGATGGAACCAACGCTTAATGAAAGATGTGGTACTCGCAGGTATGGGACTTACTTCAAGGACGGTTACACCGTTGCTACTGTGAATTGCGATGTCAGCGCGATGTATGGATGGATTGACGCAAATCCACCGTACTCATACGCTGCAGGCGCATGGTTAGAAATAGCAGAGATCGCATTCTTCGGCGGGTGCAGCCCCTGCCCCGCCGGGACCACCACGCTGTTCAACGGGCGGACGGACCCACGTGAATGCTACAAAGTTCAATTGGATACACCACCGTGTTCTAAAGATACATATTCATCTAACGGAACAATGTACAACTGGGGATTGATGTGCGGATTATCGAATAACGAAATTTGCAAATCAAGATCGCACGATATTCCAGTCTGGTCAAACACTTATTCATGGAGGCATCCGTTTACATCTTTGGCAGGGTATATTCCCTACCTAGCTACCTATGAACTTCTTGATACGACCTTGAATTTGACTACATTATCTACAGCGAATGTTCCATATTATGTACTTGTAAGATATGGAGGAAAAGCGTTACTCGGAGCAAGAAAGATATGGAAGGCAGAAGCGGAAACATTGCAGACTAAGCGATGATGTGATCGACCTGACACGTAGCTTCCAAACGAATTGTATTTAAATCGATATATTTGTAACTATACATTGGAAAACGCGTGAAGGGCACATGGAGGTCGTGCGCGTGCGCGTGAGCCGGCCGTCTGCGTGGTTCCGTGATCCAATGGACGTGGATGACGATAGCGTTGCAGGCTCTCACGTTGTAAAACGTCACGATTATAGCGACAAAGGGAATCGGCTATGGATCATCAAGACTGGATTGGTTCAAGTCGGATGTGGTGACGAAGGAACTGACCAACAAAGCAGCTATCGTTTCGAAGATAGATCGTATCATAAGTTTGATATGGCAAGGGAAGCGGGTGTACAAGCGCTCTTATCAGCACGAGAATGGGGAGCATGCACGGCGTGAGAAGAAGTACCATATTGGTGCTTATTCTGACTCTTTAGAACATTGGTCTGAAATGAACAGGTACAAGCTATACGATATAGAGGGTGAAATAAGAGGACTTGAACTGGATAATGAGAAGGAAATCATCACTGAGATTGATCTTCTCATAGATCTGTTGCGGGATGTGATGGTCAAACTCGAGGTGATCAGCGGGCAGTGGGACCTTGCATCGCTTGTATGTAAAAATCCAATATCGGCGTTGCCGAGGTTGTATCCCAATGAGGTATTGGGTGAAATGGAGGAGATCGCGATCATGATGATGTATTGCAGGAAGGCTACAATCCTCATCAAGGAAAACTTCAAGGCTATTTTTGATAAATATCAACATGGGAGTGCCTTGCAGGACAAAATTGAACATTTACAACATTTGTATGACATGGTGATCAATAATATCGATGTTAAATCCCAGAAGGAGGCAAGAATATGCTTTGATATCAAGTCATTGACGTTCGATCGTGACTTAAACGAGGATAATGTTACTCAGGCACATGTCTTGTACTTGTTTTTTTAAGAATCTTTCCAACCAATATTATGTATTGTCGCTTCCGCTTCAACGCGGGCTCGCACGTCGGCGCCAACGTCCTCCCGGTTTCCAGGAAGATGTTCTTCGGCACGACCATGACGGAGTGCCTCCCGGCCCCGGGGCTCAACCGCCAGAGCGGGGAGCAGGGCATCAACCACAAGGCCATCGAGCTGCTGTCGGACCTGGAAGGGTGCCGGAAAAAGATGAAGGCCGTCCTACGAACCATCCAGCAGGAGTCCATGCAAGCCAAGGCCTCCTTCCAGTGCATGCCGGTCAACGCCTACGGCGCCCACGAGGAGGGCGACGCCTACCTCTCCGACTTCCGCCGCTACGCCGACTCCAAGTACTGGGCCCCCGAGCCCCCGGACTTCGTCGGCATCTCCCACGGCTTCACCCGCGGCTTCATCAACGACATCCGCGAGCACAAGCTCTACATCGTCTGCTCCGGCGGCCTGAACTACGCCTCCCACAACTTCTACAACATGATCCTCGACATCGGCGACCGCGCCACCGCCGCCGAGGTCCATGAGAGCGAGGAGGTCCACTGGCTCCGGAAGGCGTCGCAGCGCTCCCGCTGCAAGATCATCAACGCCGTCGCCGACGCCTTCGGCCTCGACATCCCCATCCAGCTCGACACCCACGAGCACTCAGCCGAGGGCAGCCACGTCGCCGCCCCCACCGCCGAGACCCTCCACCACGACATCCAGCGCACCGCCCACGACGTCGTCTCCAACCACGCGGTCAACACCGAGGCCGCGGAGAACGGCGTCCTCTGCCCCATGCACCCCTGCGAGGGCATCTGGCTCTTCCAGGGTGCCCATCCTGATAGAAACAACTACAATGGAGGTGGTTATCCAAACGTACCGACCGTGACAATCCACATTCAATGACCGATCAGCCTGTGCACTCTAGCCAACATAGATTTGAAATGAATTAGCCATGCTAATATTACCATCACTGAAATACCATTGCAACGTAAAGTCATCTACCTGATTTGCCGCGATAAGATCATTCAATAATCGTACAGGGAAAGTTGATCCTGAATCGAAACAGTAACCGAACACTTTGTCTGTTCCGCACAATCCGGAAACCCATTTGCACCGCAAAAGTTTTCAAGATTCACTTCTTTGGTACAAGTACTGCTGACGCCAACATCAAACAAGAGAAAAGATGACAACCCTGTCAAACCACACAATCACGAGCCCATCGCGGCCCATTGTGAGCAGCTGGAGTCAAGTAAGGCTTACGCTCCATGTTTTCATGTTAAGGCGAGCCCTCGAGAGGAATCCAGAAGAAAATATTCAGAGAATTGGGAGTGTTGAACCGCCTTACATGTACCAGAACAAATGCGCTGTAGAGATACACGTATCGACCATACAATCCACATGTCATCTTTGTAAATCCAATGACCGTAGGTGTGAACAACCCACAGTACAAGTTAGTGGAATATGAAACAGCATCGTTTCCTATCCAAACCTCCACCGTGGAACCAGAAAACTCGGTACCACGAGGATAAATCCAGACCTCGTTGATGAGGCGAGGAACATGAAGCAATGACAACAGTAGCGTTCTTCTCTCTACCTGCTTCCGAGGAATGTATTGAAGAACAGAATCATGGGTTGAACAAAGTCTTGTTGGACTCGACGGACCATCGTTACACGTTAGTTTGCGCGCATCATCTGCCACGTTGTGAGGGTTTATCATTCAATGATAGTCTTATTTGGGAAGACAGTGGGAATGTATGAAGCATGCTGTATTTTGAAAAGAATGTCCCTGGTTGTTCAGAGAAGGACTCTATCACATTGCACAACAAATCTGACAACAACGCAAGCTGAGCGATTTATTAACAATAATCACGAAGGCTAACGAACTGACATGTAAAGTCAACACCAAGAAGCTTAGACCCTGGTTATTTTCGATCAAACGACGCAGGTTCCTAGCATTCACAGTCTGTGTTGCCAGTCCAAGTCGTCAACTTCTGTACTATGTAGAACAGCAAAGCAAGAAATACAATCACAATGGACTCAGTTCCGCCAAAGACATCCATGCTATCCCTTCCTCTCCTTCTATTGCCCTGATCATCCTTCCCATTCGTGTCCTGTCCGTCAGGTCCACCGTTCCTTCTCTCTTCCTGCATTTCGACCTGCAGAGGTTGTTTGTCCCCGTCTCACCAAGACGGCTCACTTGAGCTGTTCAACTTGCGATGTTTAGCTGACAGCAATCGTTTCTCTTGTTGTTGCGTTCACTTCAAAGCAGCTCTCCCCTCTTCCTTTCCTATGTTCCTCCATGCACCCGCTCCTGGTCCAAGGTTACCACCACCTGCGTCCTTGCCTGCATGGCAGCTATTCTCTCAGTCACGTCCGTTACAATCCTTGTAACAGCAAATGCAAACCCTCCCCATGCTGCTCCTGGCTGTGGCCATGTCTCCTCCCCCTACGCTTGCTTCGCATCCTCTCCCTTCCTGTCTTGCGTTTGCAGCTCCGTCTATCTTTCCTCCTTGCTCTCTCCCCTCCTCTCTGACTTGCAACTTTGAAACACGAATTCGTGGGCGAGCACTGAATAACATGCGCAAATCCAGTCCTCTGTCACTGTTCCATCTTTCACGATCTTGCTCTAGAAGATTTTCGCCCGAAATGAGCGAGAAGATGATCGAAAGTCCCTGGGATGTTCGACTCCGTGGGCCGTACAGCACCAACGACAAACTCTTGCAAGTGATAGGGTGAGTCGGCCGGGTGTTTGCTTCTCTAGAGTGATCTCGTTGCAAGCTATCTAAGGCAGAATCCTGCTTCAATATCAGGCCGACCGATGTGCTACGAGGTTGCGATTATCCCAGCCGCTACCATGACGCTTAAGTGGTGCGTTTCAGCCAAGTCAGATCCTGGAGAAGAGGAGGGAGCGCGAGTTTGCTCTTACGCCTGCGTTTGGTCTGGTGAACTAGTCGTTTCCTCCTTCCATTTTCTGCCTGATTGCAAGTGCTAGACCCCTGAGGACCTCGGAGATAGCTCCTCCAACCACTTTCTCGTCGTTGCTGTCTCCATACTGCAACTGGCCTGCGGAGGACTGGTGAGAGCGACTCAACCAACGACCTTTCCAGAGTCTTTCTCCCTCCTGCAGTTCCATCCCTCTCCGAGCTGCAACAGTCCTGCTGCCTCATGCTTGTCACTCCTCAAACACTTCCTCCTGCTCGCCTCTGCCTTCACTCCCGCACGAATCCTCCAAGGTTTCATGTCCGCATCATCATGACTGTAATCACAGGACGAATGTCACAACAATATCACCCCTCTCTCTTGGGACGACGGCACAATCTTCGGCGGACCCCCCGGTCTTCGATTCCAACTTGATCCTCTCTTCCTGCTGATGCCGACCCCTTGCAGTCTACGACAGCCCAGCCAGGCAGGAGGCAACGCTCTTGCACTGCCTCGTTCATCTAAGGGAAGGACATCATCCCGGCGAGTTTGGCACGGGCTACCAGAACTCGGGCTACTGGGCAGGTAGGAGGACGTGGAGGCTGCGCTGAGAGCTGAGGGAGCAGCAGGAGGGGTGACGGAGCATCCGACGATGAATCAGGTGTTGATACCCTGATCAGGGCAGTGGTGGCTGACCCGGAAAGATGTAGATGCAGGAGGTCGCACGGACAATGGCGGCAGGGGTAGCAACGGAACGGGAACGGGAGGTAGAGAGGAGAGGAGAGGAGAGGAGAGGAGAGGAGAGGACTAGAGGAGGCAGAGATTGTTCGAGGGTCGTAGGGGAGAAGGGAAGGGGGAGAGCAAGAGCACAGGGAAAGAAGTGGGGGGGGAGGGAGGCAATCTTGTGGTCTCATGCTGTTTGCCATGCCAGCTGCTGGAGCCGCTCGGGAGGGAGTGGAGCAGCCAGTCCTTCGTCAGGTGAACCCGCACTGCCTCTTGCTCCTAATGCCTGACTGCTGGGGGCCTGCTGGGGGCAGAGCTTGTGCGGACGCCATGAGATCGAAGGAGGAAGGGGCGATCAGAGTCTGCAACCTCCTCCTCAACCTCCACCTCCGCCTGCTTCTCGAGCACGTCCTTGCTCGTGCTGGGCAGGGCGCTAGCCTGTGATGAAGGAGATGATGAAACTTCGATCTACTGCAGATTGTCGTGTACTGAGGAGATGACAGGCCAGATGCCCTGGCACTCAGTGTCACCTCTCGCTCTCCTCCTACTCGATTGAGCCAGTCACCTGCAGGAAGCGATCGAAATCTACCTGTCTGTCAGAATCCTCCGTGCAGCGGAGCACGATGAAGTCGACCTCCTCCTGCGCATGAAAAGATCAGCCATAACCTTCACCATATCCTCCTCCTACTTGACTCCCCCCTCCCCCTCGCCACCCTCAACCTCAGGGGCATCCTCATCCTCCAATACTGCACCATCTGAACCTCCTCCTACACCACAACATTTCACCTCTGCCTACAACTCCTTCCGCTCCTTGCTCTCTTTCTCCTTCGCACCTCAGAGTAGCCGAAGGAGTCGAGGGCCAGGCGGAGCTCGGAGGAAGACAAGGCTAAGCGACGGGAATAATGTGAGAGGTGAGGCTAACAAGACAGAGTGGAGGGGAGATAGGGAGGGAAAAGAAGCAACCTCCGCTGCCGTCGAGATCAAACGCCTGTGCCAATTTTCAGGTCTGGTCGCTGGTGGACGGGGGAGGCAGAGGGCAGGAGGACGGGGAAGGGAGAAAGAGTCTGGACAACGTCGAGTAGCGGGAAGAAACGAGAAGGCTGGAGGAACTTAACCTGGAAAAGGCTCCATGCTTCAGAGTGAGCAAGCTGTTGTTTGGCGTTGAGAGCCTTGTCCCTAGGACACGTCGGTTGCGCAAGGAGAGGCGACGGGGAGGGGGATGTAAGAAGAGGGAGAAGCGAAGCAGGTAGGACAGGAGCAGGAGGAAGAGGAGGGGGAAACAGAGAAAGGAGTTTCACATGTCACGGAAAACCCAGGTGAGCAGAGTCTGCGCCTCCGCCAGCGCCTCCGACCAGCTGTCCTCCTGCTGGGTCCCAGCAGCTTCATTGAGCCAATCAGAGATGTCGCAGCTCTCGTCAAGCTCTCTCAGCCACCTGGGGAGAAGAAAATCAGCGTCTCCTCCCTCCTCCTCTGCTCCCCTCACGCGTCCCACGCCTTGGCCAGCGACTGGTTCCGGATCCTCCCTATCACCTTGGTGCCTTCTTAGCTTCTAGACGAGCTGGGACAGGAGAGAGCAAGGGGGGCGTAAAGGAGGAAGGGAGGGGAAGGGGGAAGCAGGGAGAAAAGGAGATTCTGACCATCTGTGCGGTCAGCCGCTGTCTGCGTGCAAGCTTTGACGAGAGGAAGAAGCTGTAAACCTTGTCATCAAGGAGAGGAGGAGGAAGGACGGAGGAGGAGGAAGAGGAAGAGGAGGAAGAAGAGGAGGAGGACAGCGAGGGTGATAGAGAGACCTGTGCGAGCTACCAGCGGACGCAGCGATGATCTTGATCCCCTCAAGGAACTTGATCTTCGTGGGAGCCTCCAACCTTAGAGGCGTCACAGCCCCGACCCCCTCGATCTCTCAACTCACGCGGACTTGTCTCCTCCTCCGCACTGACCATTGAAGTTGCACCCACAGGCGAACACGTCTCCCTCCCTCCCGACGAGGAGCGAGTGCAAAGAACCTGCAGTGACATGCACAACCTTGCAACTCCGCGTCAACTCTTGCTTACTCTACTTCAGATCCTCCTACCTCGACTCCTACCATCGCTTCCATCCTCACAGGGCTCAGGACGTATCTCTTTCTGTCCTCTCTTCCCGTCCATGCGAGGCCCAGCTGACCAAACTGATTGCTTCCTGTGGCAAAAACCTTGCAGGATCTCAGGAGGGCAGGAGGGAGAGCAGGGGGGCGCTACTGTACCTCCTGCTCGCTCGTGAGGAACAGCGAGTGGTAGTCCCCTGCGCTCGCCATCATGACGGAGTAGGAGAGGAGGCCGTGGATCTTGGAAGGAAACTTTCATTGCAGGAAGATCGACAGCAACAATCACCCTTGTGGGCTGCAGAATCTTGTCTGTCTCCTCTCCAAGCCCCAGCCGTCCATGCCCCCCGCTGCCAAAGGCGTAGACCTGCCCCTCTCTGTTGATAATGAGGTTGTGAAAAGCTCCACTTGTAATGAAGACGATGTTTGAGCATCCTGGTAGGGTGTTGGTGACCAACACAACCAGCATGATCATGATCATGATCATGATCAGCAGCAGCAGCAGCAGCAGCAGCAGCAGCAGCAGCAGCACCGCACAATCAAGAACAACAAGAACAAGTCAATTTCAACGTTCCTACCATCTATCACGCTAGGTTCAGCTCTTCGCATCGCGGCCTCTCCCTCTCCCTCGTGCTCCTCGTGTACCCTCTCCTCCTCTTGAAGATTTCCCAGCTGGCCGACGTTCCCAGTGCCGCATGAGCTCACCAGACCGTCTGCTCGCAAACTCTCAACATCGCCAACAGGACGTTGAGACTGACGCACCGTCCGTCAAGATCAGACTGTGGTACGCTCCCGTGCTCACGCTCCTCCCACGCCCTGCTCCCTGTCAGCGAGAACTTTCACGCACTCCAATGCCGCTCACCTGAGATCTTGTCCACCCTGCCAACAATGCCAGACATTGTCAATCTCCTTTGCGTGGAAGCAACAGCCAACAGCAGCAAACCTTCTAGGCGTCCTCTGCACCCTCTCGTCATACCTTGGAATCGAAGTTATTTGCTGGAGGGATGAACAAGCAGGAACAAGCACCCCAGAGCTCCATATCTTCCGTCCCCACATGACAAGACCATCCCGCAGTCTGACAACAGCATCGAGTGTCTTCCACGTCCTCCAGTCAGGTTCTTCTCAACCTACTTGCTGAACTCTCTTCACCTCGCTCCTGCCGCCACCTGGACGATCTTGATTTGACCATTGCCGAAGAGGGAAGGATGGAAATGAATCTCTCGTGACACGAGCTGGGAGAGCGTCAAGCTCCAGCTCAGCAATCTGCTGAGACCTGCTCATAGACGAAGTCTTCGTCCTCCATCTCGCGGTCCTCGTCCGACACGCCTGGTTGAAGGAGACCCAGCTGGCCCCACTCGCCAGATCCACAAGACAAGACAGCTCCATTCTCGTTGATGAACAAGGAATGACCCACACCTGTCATGCTATCAGACACTTGAGGAGATTCTACACAAGGCTGGCTGCACCTGCTGCGACTGCTGTGCAGGGGAGAGATTCGTATCGAATCAAAGCAGGAGTGCACACCTGCGAGAGGACGTCAGGTGCAGCAGAAGAAATCAAAACTTTCCTCTTGCGTGTGCCCGAGGCCAGTCTGCCCGAAATTTCCTCCCCCACAAGCGAAGACATCCCCTCCCACCATCGACTCTCTTTGAAGCTGCGCAAGGAATTTTTCCTTCGCCTCCAGCTGCCTTTGCAGATTTTCTTCGATGATTTGACTCTGTAATCTTCTTTCCTCCTCCAACGCCAGGGCAAGTCGTCTTCTCCTCTCCCGCTCTTCTCTCGCAAGCCTCGCAGCTGCCTTGACCTTGGCCGCTGCTTCGTCCAGAACGAATCGAAACCTGACCAGCAGTTTCGTGCGTTGTCCGTCGAAGCCCAAACGATCTGTTCATTCTCGTCTCTCACTTCAAGAACCAACTCCACGCCTGGAGCACCAGGCCTTGAGATCTTCTCCATGAGGGCATAAAGTTCGATTGTGCATTGTCCTATCAGCTCGCTACCTGTGACATCCCAATCATACAGTTGGACCGATAAGCAAGCTGTCCTTCTAGCATCCGCAAGACTCTTCTCACTCAGCTGCATGTACTTGCCGATGATTTCTTCACCCTGCCACACAAACTTGCGTTAAAACGCTGCCGTCCTGCTCCAACTCTGATCTCCTCACATCGTCGACGGGTAGCTCGAGGACTTCGTTCCAGGTGGGGTTGAGAGTCTTTCTCACATGCCTGGTCTTGAGGGAATGCTCTCCAAGAGAAATCGTCACGAAAGGATCGCACAGCCCGATCGTATCCGTCTGCCAGGTGCTCGTCAGTCTCGACCCTCCAGTCATTGCCCTACCTCACCTTGGGCAGGTGGGTCCCTTTGATCACCGTCATCACCAGCAGTCCCTTGGGCCATCCCATGAGCTCTTGAATCTCGTTAAGCTCCTTCATCGTTTCTTGTTCTTACTGCTTCAGGCCAACAACAAACATCGCGCAATGTGAATCATCCCTTGTGAATCATTGTTTTACCATTGTTTTATTGACTCATCAAGTTTGACAAGCCGTTGATCCTGACTCAGGTGACTGCTTTTTCAGTCAATAAAGATTGTTGGCTTTGTGCCACCCGGATTCTTTACTCAAGGCTTTACTCAAAGTTAGTGCAACGGAAGTTTTAACGGCGGTCCGGGGCCGGGCCCGGCACGATGTGACTTCAATGAAACGAATACAAATGTCACCCTGTAGTTTGAAAATCTCCACCTCAATTCAAAGTTACTTTGGAACGACACTACCGGTTGCAAAAGGTAGACCTTCTGTTTCCTAAAGGGGTGGGGTCATCGACTACTTCCCGGGCTGGTCACAGGGAGTACCAGGGGGGACCGTCGCTATGGCGGCAAGAAGGGTAGTGATGGGGATGGTGTTGAGTTGGATGTGGTGGGAGAGTGAGAGCTGGTGGTTCCTTGGGAGCTCCAAGATGCTCGACCCCTGGGAGCTACATCCCTCCTTCAACGCCACGAGAGAGATCGCAGAAGAGATCGAACGGCTGGTCGCCAAAGCTGAGTTGGTCGTGTCGGAGCTGTCAGACTCGAAGATGAAACCTGTGTCGCACCAAGGAAGGTTTCTTACCTCGTATCCCTTCCAACAGCTGATAGGAGGTGATTCTTCCTGACTCTCTTAATGCATGCTAAAGCACTAAATTCTGTAGGAGTAAAGCAGAAAAGCAACAAAGTTGAAGCTTGGGACCTCGAAACGAATTCCACACGAGAAATGAGACTGTGGAAGGCGCAGAAGAACCTGAAACTGCTGAAGAATCTGTGGATCGATGTTCAGAACAAGAGCAAAGTGTACGAGGGAGCAGTGACCGCGTTGATTTCAAACAACATCACACTTGCGGCGATGCGAGCAAAACTGCGTGAGGTGAAGTTAGGAGAGGCCCAAAGCAACGTGACTGATGGGATCATGTTCAGCATCATGTGATGGCTCAAGAAAACAGAGAAAAGCTATCTCGCGATCAGCTCAGAATGGTCTGAATGAAGTACAAGCTTTGTGTACTCACCTCGGATTTGCAGCGATCGTTCATTTCAAACTTGTCGCGGCTGGACTTAGAGCCCTTGAAAGACATGGTACTTCCTTCCTGCCCGGCTACTCTCATCTCTCATCTTTCCATGCGTAGTTGCCCATCTCGTGGCACCAGCAGGTACTGAGGAAACGAGAAGACGCGATCGCGTTTGTGTCGAGGTTGAACCGAGCAGAGCATCGCTTTTTGATGGAGCTGTTCGGAGTCGTCCAAGCTTACGTCAGCGTCCTGAAGATGAGAACGAATCTCAAGGAGTCTCTGAACCAAGCGAGGTGTTGCCATGTCTTCCTTGCTTCCACGCTCATTCCTTGTGTATCACAGGAACTACAGTGCTTTTCAAGATATCTTGTCGAGAGAGAACGAACGTCTCAAGTGCAGCATAACACCTCCTCTTGAGATATACACTGATGTTGACATGAAAGGTTAAATGATGAAATCAGGAACTTGACATACTTCTGGACACAAAGATGCTCGAAGCTTGCAAGTAATATGTAGTAATTTAGAAATTGCGATTGTTCTAAAATTCCTGCAAGATGACTTGTCTGTGGCAAAACAAGATCGTGAACTGGAACAATCTTTCTCGAAGAATATCAGTCAAAAGCTAAATCAGGTGAGGATTATTTTGCAAAGACTGCATCTGTCACAAAAAGCACAATAGACCATGTTGACGCTAAGGCTGGCGCAGTTGAGATGTGATTCCACACCAGGTTTGCTCGCACGTGACTCCCTGTGATACGTCTGATGAGTCTCTTCAAAGGCAATGACATGAACGCTAGTGGCGAGTCAGCGTTCTTGCAGGAGCTAGAGCTATGTATGAATCGAAGCAAGGACTATCAACGGCAGATTCGTCACCATGAGTGGAATGCAAGGAGGCTGGAGGGAAAAGTCCGCTATCTTTCTCAGCATTCGACTTCTTGGTTGGACCTCAAGAACTTGGTACTGTTGTACCCGTGGCTGCTGCTCTAGACCTGAACTGAAGTGAACACGTCAGAGAACAAGAACATGGTTTGCGATCAAACGAGGTCTGGTGACGGTCTATGCGCTGGTCGTTGTGGGTGAGTTGGTCATGCTAAAGATGTATCGGTGACAGGAATCGTTGCAGGCTTGCTGATAGCTCTCCTGATAGTTCCCATATTTATTGACTACCATCGGCGATTCCCATTCCCTCAGTCCTTACTGTCTACCCTTGGGATTTCATTCCACTTCTTCCTAGGGATCTCGACCCTGTACTTGATGGGGAGATTCAATCTGAGTTTTGGTATCAGAGTTTGTTTCTTCTTCGAGCGAATTGAATTCCTTTCGTTGCAACAGGATGGGCGATAGCAATCTTCCCGATTTTCAAGATGCAGATTGAGTTGAAGAGGAAATTCTTTGAATCGCAGTCTTCATCGGTCTTGTTTCAAAATCCTGTCAAGGAGTCTGCAGAGATAGATGCTCCTGCCGTTGATGTTGGCGTGGAGATAATCTCTGCAGTCCTCGAAAAGACGACAGAGATGGTTGGGTTGCGCGACCCCTACGTTCTTGTGCTGTATAATGATCAACACAAGAAGACCCAAGTACGTTGTCTGTCCTTGTTTATCTGCTTCAGTGACCGACGATCAACCCAGGTCAGAAAATCTACATTGCTCCCTGAATGGAACGAATATCTTGAATTCAATGACATCAAGGATTTCGATGACATGATTGAGATACAAGTGAAGGATTGGGATAGATTCTCCAAGGATGATACTCTCGGCACCATCACTTTGCCTCTGGCTGAAATCCTCGGACAGGTCGAACGCGGCAAGTTCTCTGCCATAGAAGAGCACGAGATTCTAGCGGAAGACCAGGAAAGCTCCATTGGGATGCTGAGAGTGAAGTGGACTTGGGACTTTATCGCAGTGAGCGAGGGCAAGCAGGACCCCTTGGAGAAGTTCGACTGTGAGGACCCGCGTTGGTCCTTCTCCAAGGCCTGGAAGTTTGACTCGGGGTACCTCCGTCATGAGTTTGAATCGGCCTCAATGCTCCTCCAACATTACTTCCCCGCCTTGCGCTCGGCGATGCTGACAGTTTCGCAAAAGCTGCTGACGTTTGGCATTTCATATCGAGTTATCCATGTGTTTGTTGCCTGTATGGCTAGCTATATCAGCGGGAAGCTGAGACTGGACATGAGTTACGTTGTGCTGATAGTCATCTGCTTGAAGAAGTGCGAAGACTTTGTCTTGTACATCAGTTGCATAGAGAAGTTCGAGAAGACCATGCAAGATGATCACAGGTGTTGCGATGTTTTCAATCCTCAATGCACTGAGATGGTGGAGCAGAATGAAAGCGATCAAGAATTGGCAGATCCAATTTGTTCCGACAGAGCTCGAGATTCCTGATTCTCACCTCTACGACCTGCTGCAGGTCTTCAGACATATGCGTCCATATCGACTTGTTCACTCAGAAGTCTCCTGGCTCAACGACTTTCTTCAAGCCACATGGATACGATATCAACACTGGTGATTTGAACTTGTTCACCTTGTTCTTGTTGTTTCTGAAGCAGCCACAGGTTCACCTCTTATCTGCAGAACCTGCTCAATGGCCTGCTGGGTTTGTTGTGGACATGACCTGAAGGACGCGTTGACTTTTGGACGCAGGTCAATTCTCGCTGCAAATCAAGACAGTCAACATCGGGTCTTCGGCTCCTCGGATCAGAAACTTGAGCGCGGTAGCTCCGTCCCCCAGCATGCTCCCCAAGTCCAAGGACCTGCTCGTGGTGACAATCGTGCGAGGAAGGAACATCTTGGGGAAGAGAAGCTTGAGGAACCTGCGGGGGATGTGCGACCCGTACGTCAAGGTGAGTCTGGATGAGTTTCGCAACGCCAGGACCAGCACCAAGAAGAACTCTGAGAACCCTGTGTGGGACGAGACGTTCAGGTTCTACATCTCTGAAGAAGAGTCGGACAAATGGAGCGTCTCCCTCGAGCTCTTCGACGACGACCCGGGGAACGACAAGCTGATAGCTGACGTGGTCCTAGAGCACGACTTTGTCAAGACGTTGCAGGAGAACAGATCGCTGCAGAAGGAGTTCAGGATGCAGAAGGACGGCACCTTGCTCGACATCTTGCTCACCGTGAGGTTCAAGCTGGTGGAAGGGAAGACCCACGTTCCTGCAGAGTCTTCCTGCCGACTGTATCAGATGAACTTCGACTGTGAATGGGACATGGACACGTCGGTTAAGCTGCGAGCTGCTGGGTTCCCTGTGATTCTGCAGCTGATATCTGCAAAGTTCTTTGCGAGGATAACGTTCGAATGGCTCGACCCACAAACCATGATGAACAGACCTCCCAAGCACAGACGCGAGGAGCAGGAGTTCTCCAAGTTTGGCTTCTTGTTCACAGTGAGTTGTGTCGATGGTGATTGTGACTCACAAGCGACTTCAGGAGTACATGCACGTTGCTGACTACCCCAACTTGTTTCGGATGTGGATCGACGTGCGGAGGAAGCCGATCTTGGAGTCAAAGGTGGAAGCGTTCGGAACCATCGACATCTGGTCGCTGCCAGGGATGAAGTACATTCAGAACACCTACGTCACCGACCTCATCTACGACTTGTTCCCTATCAAGATTGACATCTCAGATCCCAACAAGTTCCACGACAAGTCGAAGGGAGCCGTTTCGAAAGACTTATTTGGGTACCTGAACACCAAGGATAACGATCAGCAGAGGTTGGATGTCATCGACTGCACCTCAGCTTATCTGATCTGTCTGTCAGGTTTGCGTTCCTCAGCCTCGAGCTCATCAGGATTTCTCCTGTGAAGGATCAGTCAGAGAATTTCTTTCTCTGTGTCGTTTCTCACGGAGCTGTGGAGATTGATGACGAGAGTCCTGAAGAGAATCAGCTGCAGTCGAACGCGAGTTACTTCTGCTGCAGCTCGACGCATTCAAGCAGGAAGGGCTGGTTGCTCAGGTCCATGCTGATGAATATCCAAGATCCTTTCAAAGAGATGTTGAGGTTTCAAGTATATTCCTTGTCAGGATATCAGATCGCTTTCCATGGGAAACCAATATTCCAGACTAGCATGCGCGTCAGTGAGTTTCTTGACAGACATGTAGTGCATCGGAACTTCATCAGACGGCACGTCGTCGTCGAGAGTGACGGCCTCTGCCTGGAGCTGACAGCAGAAATACGCACTGATCTACAAGAGCGATCAGACCGCCAGGACATGCCCATGGCCGTGCCATGCAGCTCAGACAAGGATGATACCGACTGGCTCGTCGTCGTGCTGGAAGACCTTCAGTTTGAGGAAGAGATGGACTTTAGCACGCTAGCATGTACCTTCCTAGTTGAAAATGCTTCTGGCTCTTGCATCGCTAAGATAGAAGACGCCCAGTGGAATGGCGCGAAGGTAGTAGTCGCTTCATATTGATTTTCAACGTAACGACACAGAACTTTTATCAGAAAAATCCCTTCTTGATATCAATACCATCAGACATCCGGTACCTCTGATGTTCCAGAGCTGCGATGCGATTGAGTGCACTGCCAGGACTTGTATGCTCAAGATCAACTTCAGTATAGACGAGAAGTACGTCCTGCAGGTGAGTTGCAGCAGCGTGCTGGTCCTCTCCCCACCTGAACTTCACTTCCTAGTGCGTCAAGTTGCTCAACGAGTGGAAGTCGCAGGGCGAGGACCACGTCATGAACATGTCGGAGCACCTTAACGTCGCTCACAACGTCAGCAGCAGCCCAAGGGTCCGCAACAAGTCTCGATGCGTCCTCCTCGGCCACCTCCTGTGGCACAGGTGCGCGGCTCAGCTGCGAGCCTCGGCTTGACGCCTGGGCAGGAGGATCCCTGGGGAAGCGAAGCCTTCCATCCTCATTCGGAATCTCCGCGTTCTCCACCTGCCCTGGGAACGCGGGTTCCAGCCCCCGGACGCGCAATGGTGACCAAGTGGCTGGTCGTTGGCTGCTCCTGACGTCCTCGCAGCATCGTAGGGAGTTGCGTAAGATCAGAGTGCGGAGGGAGCGGAAACGCAGACGAGGGGGAGGGGAGACAGGGAGACTATGTCAGGAGCTCGCTCAAGCGACAGGAGCTGTGCGTTGATCAAGAGGTCGCTCTGCTCGGGTGGCTGACGGGGGTACAGGAGGCCGTCGTTCTCTGAGGAGTTCCGCTTCCAGCCCGAGCTGGGGCTGCTGGGCGAAGCGAGCGGAGGAGAGGTCTGCCTGCGGATAGAGATCTTGCAGATCGATACCGCCGGAGGAGAGAGAAAGGTAGGGACGATATGCAAGCCCCTCCGCAGCCTCTACGTCGAGAGCCTGGCCAGGGAGAAACCCGCGCGATTCTTGCAGGAGATGTCAAGGGGTCTGAGGCAGGAGGTAGTGGCGCACTGCAGTGAGGGGTTCACGGTGAACGGAGAGCCGTTCAGCTCAGCCGACTTTGACATTCACTTCCAAGGTATAGAAGATAGAGGAGACTTACGATGCCTAACATGACCTTTACACTTCCACCAGGTGACTGGGCCCTGATTGTTCCAAGTGCTCTCGAGACATTCGTGAGAAAGCAAGAGCAATCTCTTCTCAGGACTTGATCGCATTGCACCCTCTTCCTCCTCCTCATGCTCGGATGTACGTGTGCTGCGCCGACTGCTTGTTAGGAGGGGAGGATGTGTTCTTTCTGGACGCCTCAAGGGTCGCAGCTCGTCTTAGCAGCTGGTTCGCATTGGTGTGATCCTTCCGCACTTCACGCAGGAAGTGTGCATACGCCAGCAAAGTGTCGAGCTGCTCAGGGTCGAGCTGGAAACGGTCAGCATTGCTGCAGGCAAGGCGGCGATGTTCACCTGCAAGGCTCTTCGGTAGAGCGTCTCAGCCTTGTCGTGGTTGCCGATCTTGGTATGCAGCAACATGCCATAGTTGTGCAGCACGTCGACCTGGTCGGGATAGATTTCCAGCGCCCGTATGTAGTAGGACTCGGCGTCTGCGTATCGTCCCTGCAGGACCTTCCTTGTCAGACTTGGCCCAGCTGCACAGGGTACCTGACCTGCATCTGCCAGAGGGACGCGCAGTTGGTCAAGCTGTTGAGATTTCGTGGGTCTGCGTCAAGGGCACTGGAGAGGCAGGAGGGCAGCCAATCAGTCAGGCATCAGCAGGGAGGAGGAGGCATGGAATCACCGTTTGTACAACTGCTCAGCCAGTTGCAGGTCTCCCCGAACAGAGTGCATGTACAAGGCGTAGTTGCAGAGAGCTCCGGCATGCGTGGGATACATCCTGATCCCATGACTAGTCAGCAGTTGCTTCATGCCGAGAGAGAGGACCTCAGCAAGTCCTGATACTCTCTTTCAACTGTCTTCTTGTCGTAACCGCTTGTTTGCCATATCCATGCTCTCGCGACAAGGCTGTCCGCATGCTTGGGCTCAATTTCCAAAGCAATCTTGAGGAGCTGGTGCAAAAGATTCATTTAGAGGAGGAGCACGAGAGCCGCGTGCTCTTTGATCCTCTTACTTTCTTTGCCTTGTTTGCATCATGTCTTGTCGCATAAAGAAGTTCCGCATACCCACAAAGAGAGTCGACATGTCGCTTGTCGATCTGCAGAGCTCTCCTGTACATCCGCTCTGCGCGTGACGAGTCTCGCACAACATCTCGCAACAACTTGGCCAAGTTGCTCAATGTCTCCACTGCACTTGCAAGAGCACCAGGGGACAGAACGCTTCGTTTGGCCTGTCGCAAAGCACTCTCGTACATGATCTGCGCGTTGCGGAAATCTCCTTGGTCGTGCAGCAAGCGAGCATACGCGCCAAGAGCTTTAATGTGCGTTGGCTCCATCTGCGCGACAAAAGTCACAAGTCAACATCACTGCACATGAAGAACGTTGCTGACCTTCAGAGCCTGTTGGAAGAAGATCTCTGCGCTCTTCACGTCTCCCTTGTGCAGAGCTTGCTTCCCCTTGCTGCTCACGAGTGTCATCCTCAACGGCAGACAAGGACGAGCAGACCTGTAGTTCCCCTCGGCGTCGGGACAGGCTGAAGAGATAGCGTCTTTTAGCAGCTTCTCCTGCTTGTCGCTGAGCGCCTTGTGCTCTGTCAGCTTCAACGTCTTGCTCGAGGCTTCGTTCCCGTCAGGCTCGTTGGGTTGATCTTTGCTAGGATGCTCTGTCGATGACGAGATGTGCTCGTTCCTCCTCTTCTGCGTTGCCGCTGCCTCTTTGTCGGTTGGCCTCTCCACAAACACGATCTGAGACGGCGATGAAGCACCGGCATTCGACGCTCTCATCCTTCCTTGGGTCAGCGAGTGGTTCGGGGTGGTTGGACGATCGTCCATTGGAGGCCGGTGTGACGTTTTGAATGCACCCGTTTCAGCCCCCTCCCCAGGCAGGTCGTGGTCCTCGGCCTCGGACTCCTCCATGTCTGGTTCGGACTCGTCGTCATAGAACGCGCTCTCATCTGAATCTTGCTGCATGCTCTCGACCTTTCCGTTCGCCCCCCGCACCTCTTTATCAGGTGTGCTCCTCGCATGCCCATTGCTGACACCTGTCACTGGGCCCGCTCCTCTCTTGATAAGATCCTTCTCTTCACTCCTGAGAGCTCTGCGCTGTGCTACCAGTCTCTTCACTAAGATGTCTTCATAGTCAGCCGTGCCCGACGACACCAACTGCCGGTACGCTTCAATACTTGAGGTGAAGACACGAAAATGACAAGAACGTGAGCTGATGGAAGATTGAATGATTGTGAGACGAGAGCGTGGGTGTGAGGGAGATAATGAGGATTGCTACGAGACAACAAGCCCTGCAATCCTACCTAGAATTCTAATAAACTCTACTACTACTACTCCAAGGAGAAGGAGGGTGGGAAACGGGGCGGTGAGGACGAGGGCGAGGGTTTTCACGAGGACGACAATGCGCACAGGAACGAAGGAAGAAAGTGGAGCAAGGCCAAAGAACAGAACGAAGCGAAGAGGAGAAAGAGCAGATGATGGAGGAGGAGGTGTACAGGAGGGAGTGGAGGCGAGGAGGGAGGAGGGATGAGAGCATGGGGAGTAGAAACAAACCTCTTCCTCTTGCCTTCTCAGCTCTTGCTGCCGCCTCCTGTTCTCGATCAGATCCGTCATTGCTCACCAGCGCCCGCTCCCGCAATGGAACTGGTGGGCCCTGCAGTCGAAAGACTGAATATTTCATCTTTATTTATGTATCAATGTTCAAATATTGCAAGCATATTTCAACTTTCCGTGAAAATAAGTCACCATAATCGCGAAGTCTTCGGCAGTTGTGATGCTTACTTTGACCCGCCTAAGGGTTGGGGGTGGCGTCAGGAGTTAAGTCAGAGGGGTACTTCTAGGGATAATCACCTTCAAAATGTAGGGTGGGGTAGTGTGAGCAAATGGGGTAGTGTAAGTAAAAAAGACTCCGACTGCAATCAGTGCCGAGCATTGCAAGAACTTGGCCCGGGCCCGGCCGAGTGAGGACCGTACTAGAAAGGACTGCCATGATCGGACGGCGGGTTGCGGCACTGGCCGGGAGGAGGAGGAGGAGGAGGAGGAGGAGGAGGAGGAGGAGGAGGAGGAGGATGGTGGGAGCCTCACTCGGAGTCCTGTGTAGTACTGTGACACGGCGGCACTGCCCGGCGCCGGCAGACCGTTCACACAGCCTGGCCGCTGAGCGACTACCGAACGTGGGCCGCAAGCCTGATAGTGGAGAAAGAGGGACGCCGGAGCTGAGCCTCGGATGTGAACATTTTTCAATGAGCAAAGAGTCAAGATACGATCCCCTCACGGTTGTGAGGCCTTCAGCCTGGTGCTGGTGATCCATTCCGCCATGTCCGACGGTCGATGCGACCCCTCGTGCTTCACGACCACCGGCCTGGTCACCATTGCGCAGTCAGAGACTCCCGTCAATCACACTTAGATCAACTCACCCCGACGAACCCTTGAGCACCAGGAACAAGGAGGGGAACCCTGTGATGTGGAACTGCTCGGACATCGCCTCCGGGATCTTGTTCTGCCATCCATCCATCCTGGCGAGTCGCACGCCGATGCCCCGCTCCTTGACCTGCAGCATCAAGAAGCCAATGAGTGAAGAGGAGCAACAGGGTCACAAAACGCACGGTCTTGGCAAGCTCATTGAAGTCCGGGTCGAGGGACTGGCAGTGAGGGCACCATGGCGCGTAAACGTCGAGGAAGAAATCCTCACTGCTGTTCCAAACGACTTCCTCAAAGCTCTCCGACTTCACCTTGGAGAGCGTCACGACTTCTTTCTCAGTCTTCAAGCACAACTCACCAGGGCGATGCCAAGGTCTAGGGCTCGTTTCGAGGCATCAAAATCCCACAGGTAGCCTTTCCTGACCCTGTCCGACCTCCGCTCGAGGTCTCTGAACGATCCGGAATCCTTGGCAAGGTGCATCCCGCACTCCGTCTTGCCCTTGAACTGCTTCCACCTGCCCTCCCTCTCACTCTCTCCCTTCCCCGTGCGCTCTGTGGTGAAGATGTCGCCGATAGACAGAAACCCATCGTCGTGCAGTGAGTTGTACGGCAAACCCCTTCCCTTGATGTAGCTCCAGACTCTCTCCATGTCCCAGTTTGCCAGGGGGTTAATCTTTACCCTCCCGTCCGATCCATCGACCTCCACCAGCGGAATGTCCTTCCGCACTCCACCCTGCGACTTCCTTCTCCCCGTGATCCAGGCCTTCACGCCCAGGTCCTCCAAGGCTCTCCTGGTAGGCTCTACTTTGGTGAGGAACTCGAAGAGTTTGAGGTCGACTTTCCACAGCTTCTCCCCGAAAGCTTTCTCGAACATTGCTCGGCTCCCTTCCTTGCTCCTGTAAATCCTCAACTTCTCCTCAAGGCCGAAGTATTTGGTCGCGTCTTCAATGAGCGCGTACGTCTCTGGGAACAAGTAATGAGTGTCAACGCTTACTATGCGTGTATGCTCGAGCAGCCCGAGTTCTCGCAGCATGTCAGTTATCACCAGGCCTTGCGGGCCGAAACTCGTGAACTGAACCCATGAAGGTCCTGATGCCGTCGGCTTGAAGGTTGCGTTGGCCCATCTTAAGATCTCCACCGGCTGCTGCTCGACCGGAAGCTGTTCAATGCGCGAGCTGATGTTCATAACCTGTGCATGTGCCAAACCAGACGATGCTGTGGACCTGAGCCCAAGCATAGAGAGAAGCCCGCTTCCTTGAGATTGAAGAATCTGCAAGGAGGAAGAAAGAGGGGATATAAAAACCACTGCGACAATGACGACAACGAATGGAACCGAGCACAGTACATTGCGCAATGGGAGCAAGGGATGCCTTGCACGCTCCTTTTCCTTGGCCATATTAGAAGATGATTTGTTCCAGGAGACGCGATTATGACTTGTCTTTGCGCGGCTCAGAGGTCTGGACCCTCAGACCGAGAAAGGTGACGGGAATCAAACTCTACCGGAGCAGGCGGAGGTCTGAGAAGGCTTGATGGACACCTTAGAGATCGAGCGCAAGCACGAGAGGGGAGGGCAGAGGGATGGCTTGCGCTTGAGGACGAGGGGGCGGAGGTCTCAAGGGCACCGACAGCGTGGAAGGTATCACGCAATGGGGGCGTGGACTTCGGTAGCCTCACCACGATCCCGCACTATTGTGAGTTGCTGCCTCTCGATATGATTTAAGTGTCAATCTGAGGCAGACTCGATACTACCAGCTTGTTGCAGAAATGTCCGTTGTCGTCGTTGTAACGACGATGCACCTCGAAAATAACGGTCGCATCTTCATCCAGTAACGCCGCAACAGGAAGACTCCAGCTGGCCCGGCCCATAGCCGCCCCACGTTTCTGCGCCGTTATTTTTTTTTGGTTATAATTATATATAAACCATTTTAAAGACGGCAGAAACTTGATCAGACCACCCCCATGACACCCAGTCCAAGCAGGGGTACACTTCAGTCATCTCCCCTCTCAAATTTTACTCAAAACCGTATCAGTGCGAACAAAGTTAATCGTGCGGGCGGACCCCACCACCTCATTGGCAGTTGTTCTGGGGGTCATCAACGTACTTCTGTAGTAAACTCCCCCTTTTTGTTCTTTACATTCGATTTGTAAAGAGCAGACCCACCCTCCGGAACAAAACGCTGTCGTGATTTTATCCACCCCATCACCCCCCATATTCCTTCTCAAAGAGGGGGTTGTACCCATATGTTTCCGTGTTGACTTCTGACCACCAGTCCACAAAGGCCTGCTCTGTACCGAAGATGCTACCCCTATTTACCTGCTAAATACCCCCTCTTTTGACTGTAAAGACCCCCACCCTCCCAATAATGTTAAGAGAAGAAGGGAGTTGTTTCGATCACCCTTGAGTTCTCCCACCACCACCCTCATGCTTTCATTTTCTTCGTGTATCCCTCAATGGAATTTCTCACAGCTCGTACCCTAGGCTTCTAGAAACCCCTCTCTTTGGTACTTCCACTGTCACTGGGCCCAAATATGTTTGGAATGACTACCCCCGCTGTCCCCCTATCGTTTCCTCCCAGAATATCAACTTCTTTGATGCTACCCCCGGATTCTACCGAGTCAGAGTCCATGGTACAATCGCAGGTAATCCTCCCGTCGAGTAAGTACCCCCTACCCCTTATTTTAGAAGGCATTCGTTCACCGCCTACCCCTCGTTCCTAAGCTGTAATTTACTATAGTATCACCTCGAAGTATTTTACATGACCGATGGGCAGTCGGTTTATCCCACGTCGTGTTCACGTCCTACCGTACGATCTGAGCAGGGTACCCGTCCTATTCCTTTACTACCCTCTTTTGATCCCTTGTTATTTACAGCCCACCGGTCCCCCACGGATGGCTTTCCTACCCCACCCCCTCCAATAGGTCCATCTGCAAAAATCAACCATGACTCGCGTTCTTTCCACCCCACCCCCATTTCATGTTTCATCACACAGCCACCCCTCTGGTCCAAAAAAAATACAGTTTGAACAATCGCCGGGGTAGTATATTCACCCACTTGTCTTTGTTGAGGTCTTTGAGAGGAGTGGGGTATAGATACTATTTCTTTCAAGTGATACTGTATTGAATTATCTGATCCCACCAGCATATTTGAACAAGCATATAGCTCACACTCAAATACTACCCTACCTATCAAAGGATACCAACCCACCTGTTCTTGACGATCCGCCACTACCCACCCTACCATGCTCAACTTACGAGACAACCCAAGCACATCCCATCCGAGCCCCGCGCCACCTGATCCTTCCATCTCTTGCCATATTGCTTGAAGTGAACAAGACAGCGACCGGACAGAAGTTGTTTGTCCTGAATACTTTGGTTCGAACCTTCCACACAGTCCACAGACGCTATTGCCATCAAGAAACTTCTGACGAATATCTAGTAGTGTCCTTGCTGCTTGCATTCTTGTTTTGATCAAACTCGCCTCTTCAGGAAAGGTAGTGGTCAGTCGAAATGTTGTCAAGAGAAGAAAGAGAGGCCTTGCAGAAAGTCGAGGAGTGGATGGCAAAATCGCAGGCGCCTGAGGAGGTTGAGGATGAAACAGAAACCAAGCCTCGCTCGAGGCTGAGGCGAAGCATGTCTGTAGATAAAACTAGCGAACTAGTTAACAACGATGAGACTCTGGCTAGGAGGCAGAAGTTGCGCAACAAGCTGAACTCTATGGGAGGAAGCTTCAACAGCAAGATGGGAGGAAGCTTCAACAGCAAGAGAGGCTCTCTGAACATGTCAAGATCACCCATGGCAGGAATCATTGAGCGCACTCAGAGTCATTCAACCAACCGTGAGGATACGGGGAGAGGTCTCACGGGAGGCTACAAGTCTCAGCAGAACCATGATGTATCCTCTCCTCTTGAGAGATTTACGGCCGGGCTCATTGGCACAGCGCTGGATTGGACCAACACGAACTCTCCAAAGAGCGAAGGGATGTCGAGAAGCAACAGCATCCAAGACGGACTTACAGGGCTGTTCTCGTTCTTCACCAACCCGAAGGAGAGCAATGAAGCTTCCGATTCTAATGCGAATGCACAACAAGGAAATACCAGCGACTCCAGTGAACCAGAGCAATCAGATCATTTCGACCCCCCCAACTCTGGTGATTCTTCCAGAAATTTTCGCGGTTGGGAGGAGAAGGCCAGATTGGCGTCTGAGAAGGCGAAGGAGGCGAAGGCTGCTGCTGGTACAGCACGCGACAACTTTGTGAAACGCCGAGCTTCGACAAGCGACTTGATGTTGCTGGACAGAAGCATTACGATGTAAATGATAAAATGTTTCAACCGGATCTCCGGCCCGGCTCCTCTCTGTATCGATGTTTTGGCCGCATTCCTTCCCACCGTGCACGACAGTGATCGGATCGGACCGGGGCCGCCCCGGGCCATTCCCCTGCGCCCGGGGTCACCATGCCGCAGGTCGGACCGTACGCACAATGATCCGTGACGGTCCGATCGGACGTGACGGTCGGGTCGGGCCGGGGGCCGGGCCGGCCCGGGCGCGGCCCCGGCGGCCCGGCGTGACTCGCCATCATCATCGGACCGGACACCGGGCCGGATCATAATCGGACTCACCGTAGTGGCCATTCCGGTATGCGTCTCACTGAGTCATCACTTCCAAGTTTACTCAAAGTGAAGTGAAAAATCAGTACGAGGACAATCAGGAGAGTCGAGGAGGCTTGACCCGTCTCATCATTCCTTCGGCGGCGGCCACAGCGACATCGCTGCGGCATGGCGCGGGGGCCGCCCGGCCGGGCCCGGGGAGTGGTCCTCGTACTGATCTTTACTTAACTTTGAGTAAAAAAGGATAGTAAAACATTGAGTGCCGCCCGGGTTGTCAAATGGCGAGAACATGCGGAAAAGCTCTGATTGTGGCAGGAGACGACGACGACGACGACGACGACGACGTTATGGAGAGAAGGATGGAAGAGATGGAAGCAAGGAGAAGAGAGGAGGTGGAGGCTGAGCTGCGAGGTCCGGTCGAGAAGGTCCTTCGCAACCTTGATTTTGCCCGTTCGGCTCGGCTCGACAGCGCAACTGCAGCATGGGAGATCAGCGAGATCGAGATCAAGACGCTCGAGCATGCAGAGAGACTCGGGCAACAAGTGAGATCAGAGAGTGCTGAGGATCAGGTACTGCAAGAGACGCTGTCTTGCTGTAGAAGAGACCCACGAATCGAAGTACACTACTTCAACCAATGCTTCCAGGATTCCTATGGCCATCGTTTGAACGCAGAAGCAGAGGAAGCTCTCAATGAGGAGATTCAGTCCGAGGGACGGAGAGAACAGCACGTTGCAGCACAGGAGATGGCTTGCCAAGACAAGGCTTGGTTGCACCATGTGCGGGAGTCAGAGCGCAGGCGAACCCTTCGGAAAGCTCTGCAGGCAGAGGCGAAGCTGATCGAATTTCAGGAGAGATGTAGAAGTCTGCACGAGGAGGAGGCTGCAAGTAGATCCAACTTTGAGGAAGGTCACGTCATCGAAACCATCGCAAGATCAGAAGAAGTCTGTGCTCGACGCTTCCACGACTTCGTTTGTGACTGGCGTATTTTATGCAGGAGATGTTGTGGAGAAGGAACGACGCTCTGCTCGATGCGGCATCGGATCGTCGAAGACTCGAAGACCTGCGGTTGAAGAGAATCGCGGAGCAAGAAGAAGAAGCAAGGCTGCAGCAGTCAGTGAAGGTGTACATGGAGAATCTGGTGCAAGAGGCGATGAAGGTGTGTGCGGACCTCGATGTCCTGCCTGCATCTTTTCTCTTTGATGGAGTTTGTCGTTAGATCTCACTTCGTGGAGAGCGAGAGCGACGGGAGAAATGGAACAGAATCCATGAGATCCGTTCGGCCCGCCTGAAACTGAGGCGAAAACGTGCTGGAGGAGCTAGTGAGGCCCAGCAGGTCTAAGTTCGATCTTGTCACGCGCAGCTGCTTTGAGCGATCAACCAGTGTCCTGACTTGGTGTTGTCAGAATCTCCAGAGACTTGGCTTGCAGAATGCCGATGAGGAGACGCTCTCCAAAGAAGAGAAGTAGCTTTGTCAGGCTGCTGGCTCAAGGTTGACACGAGAGTTACTATCGCAGAAAGCTGCTTGCTGAACTTGACAAAAACTGCTCCGAGCTGGGGAGGAACATGTCTTATAGGTCGGTGGCTGCAGTCGTATCCAGATGATTGCGACTGCTGCTCGGCTGATTCTTCTTGCGCAGCATGGAGGATTGGATCGCAAAGGCCTCGAAATTGGAGGACGTCTTCTTTCAATCAAGGAAGCCTTCGTCGCTGCTCAAGTCTGACCCTCACCTCCCCATCCCCTTCAGCATCGTCTCTGCGCTCACTTTCACTGCACAGATACCTCGATGAGTGGGGTTCGAGGAGCAGGGGAGAGAACACAAGGGAGCGGGAAGAAAGGAGGGAAAAGCCTGTTCCATCGGAGAAGCAGTCAACGCCAGTGCCCGAGGAATTGAGAGAGAGAGTGCAGCAGGTGTGCCTTTCTTCTCCCGGCGACTCGAGAGCCTGAAGCTAGCCTTCGCGCAGCTCTGGGACGACATCGTGATGCTGATCAGCTACAGCTCTACCTACGAGCTGTCTGAACAAGATGCAGAGCTCCTGCTCCGACTGTCGAGGGTGTGGACAAGAGTGACGGTGAGTCTGTTTGGTTAGAGCGAGCAGGGGTTACTTGTGCTGTCAAGGTGCTCCGGTCGGCCGTGGACCCTTCAATCCTTCGATCGCAGGAAAGCTGGCAGCAGCGGGAGAACCCAGCAGGCAGCGAAGACGTGATTACAGGTGAGAAGAAGAATACTGCTCATTTCATCTTGACATATGGTGTAACGAAGAGAGGAGAGAACGCGACGAGGAGCAAGTCCAAGGGTTTGTTTCCTTCAGAGAGCACATTCACATTCAGGTCGTCGTCGTGTGTTGTGATGTCAAACTGAGAGTTTGCGCAGGTACAGGAGTGCGAGGCGGAGATCGCAAGTCTTAAGATGGTTATTCAAGATCTGGTAGATATCAACAAAGCCCTCCAAGACAACCGCACATGACAGCCAAGGAAGTTTAAAGGACTTTATTACATCTGCGAATCCCTATCCCAAACTTCTTACCATCTGGGAAACACAATCTGTCAGCAAAAAAAGTGGCGAGGAAAGAATTAGAAAACTCACGGGCGGTTGTCGAGGTCAGAGTTCCATGATGGCCAAGTGCCGTTGAAGGCGAGGGGGAGCTGCTCATGGTGCTGGTACTCCTGGCGCCACATCCACAAAGTCTGGAACATCTGGATAGATTGTCAATACTTCAACAGAATGAGAATCATTCTCAAAAGACCAGCAAAGAAGCACAAATACATTTTGCGATGGACATCGATCATGAGGGAACATGTTTCTGTAGTGTTTTCCTTACGGAAACCATGGGAAACATCATTATCCGGCATCTCACACTATGCATTATCATGCTCGTTCAAGAATAAGAAGGTCTTTCATCAAATATCCCGCTTGTCATCTACAAACTACTTGTGTTCATCCCAATCATTAATCTCTCACACCATACAACTTCTTTCTGTATTATATCATACTTCATTGTCGCTTCTCTCTCGTCTCTCCTTGTTTTCCTCCTCCTCCTCCTCCTCCTCCTCCTCCTCCTCCTCCTCCTCCTCCTCCTCCTCATCATCATCCTAATCATCCTCATCATCATCCTCATCATCATAATCCTCATCATCATCATCATCATCGTCTTCACCTTCTGGTTTGTTACTTCAGGCCTGCTTGCCCTCGATTATAAAGCACTTCCACCACCCCACCTCCTATTCTTGAGATCAGTTTAACCCTACCCCCAGAAATCTCTGTGACCTTGATGCACCGCTACTGTTGAAGGTACCTACCTTGTATTTATGCTAAATTCATTTCGAGAAATATGGGGTTATCCAATTACCCCACCCCACTCAATATGACAAAACATGGAAAACTTCCAGTCAGAACCCCACCATGAACATCTGAATACCACCCCACCCTCAAACAAGGCGTTCGACGACATTCCCAAAATAGACTGAGACAAGTGACCACATCCTCCCACATCCCCTCATCGATCCTGGGAAACTCATCCCCCTCCTTCACCTGCGCGTGAAAGGTATTTAGCTAATGGAGTTTGAAATAAGACCATAGGCGAAAATGCTGAAGGAGGAATACGAGGAGAAGGGACAAAGAGGCAGAGAGAGGGAAGGGAGAAAGGAAGAGAAGGAGAAAAGAGTTGAGATGGAAAGTTTGTATCCATGAGCTGATTTGTTGTTGAGAGGAGGTGGGAAAGGACAACACGATCAAAGAGGTTGAAGAATGCAGATGAAACAGGAGGTCGGAAACTGTGATCGAATCGATCCCAGTGCAACATTAATATCAAGGATTCACTTATGGATAACAGGTTTGCTCTGCTTTTCGACAGACGGCGAATTCAAGGATATGAAATGAAGCAGGTAGGCAAGAAGAAACACGTCCGTGCTATGGCAATGCTGATGGCGGCTGTCTTGCTCGCGGCAAGTGACTGGAGTGTTCTTGCAACACAACGACCCTCAAAGGAAAAGACAGGCTGGAGCATATCGGTGCAAACGGCTCTGAGACTCAGAGGAGGGAAACGGAGGAGGATAAGAGAGCCTATCACAGGAATCCTGTCAGGGCTCAAGGAACGAAGCCCCAAGAGCCCTTACTACTATGAGCAGCGAGAGTTGGCCGCGGAAATGCGGAAGCATCGCAAGAAGAGCAAGAGGAAGGAGAAGGAGGTTGACTGGGAGAAGGAGCTGAGGGAGAAGAGAGAAGGTCTGATCGATCCCAAGAAGCTTCCCGACGAGAAGAAGTTTGGAAAGAAGAGAAAGAAGAGCATGATGGAAGACCTCGCCTACCTGCAGAGGAACATGTCTCTACGTCAGGAGAAGACGCTGAGTGACGCGGGGATCACGCTCGACAGCCTGATGGAGACGAGGCCGCAGTTTCACCTGATGAACCTGACGGTCAGCCCCTGAGCTCGACCAGGACAGTGCTGATTGCTGCAACAGAAGACACAGCTGATCGAGCTCGGCGGGGTTCTCACCAAGCACTGCGAGTAAGACTCCTCCCTTGCTCTCGTGCCACTAACGTGCCGGAGGGTGGTGAACGACTGGATAGACCGCAAGAGGAAGGGGGAGGAGACGGGGGAGTTCGACGAGGTCAAGTGAGCGAATGCCATTCGAATCTCCAGCGATGTTGGACGGCTCAAGTGTCGGCAGGGACGAGAAGACGAAGCAGAGGCTAAGGCTTTTCGACGCCATCGAGTTCGGTATCTTTTGCTGCCACCATCTCCCCCTCCCTGCTCGCCCATCCCTTGCCTCTCCCTCCTCCTGCTCCTGCCTTCCGTCAGCCGCGTGTTGCAGGAAACCTGAAGCAATTCTTATCCGCCATTGAGCTGGGAGCGGACGTGAACTCTTGCTATCAGAACGAGGTATCGCTCTCTGCCCCTCTTCCTTCTAGTTCACACACACTCTCCTCCTGCCAGGATCTTCCTCAGCAGTTGGGCATGAGCCCGCTGCAGCTCGCGTGCTCGCTGGGTAGGCGAGAGATGTGCCGCATCCTCCTCGAGGTTTGACAGTCTTCTGTTCCTCCCCCGTGTGATTGCTCGCAGCACGGAGCCAACGCAACATTCCGCGACCCTCGGTGCTCTGTCCTCTCTCCCCCCTCTTAGTTCATCCCTCCTCCTCTTCTCTTCGCTTATCCTCCTCTGCAGAATGGAGACTCCCCTCCACTACGCTGCAATGAAAGACGACGCTGAGGTGGTGAGGATGCTGACAGCAAAGGTCTACCTATCCTCCGACTTCGCGTCATGCTTCCACTGAGCCTCATGGCAGGAGGTCCCTGTCAATGTTCGCAACCTCCACAGCTACGATCCCTTGTACGCCCTCGTCCTCGTCCTCGTCCTTGTCCTCGTCCTCGTTGTCTTCGTTGTTTCAGCTCTCCTCATACCTTGCAGGCACCTTGCAGCTGGCTTGGGAAACGTCAAGGTTGCAGCGGCGCTGCTTGATGCGGGGGCGAATTTCAGTCGGACTGTGAAGCCTTGGCGGGAGCCGGGGATGGAGTTTCTAAAGGGGATTCCATGCTTCAATCCAAACTCGTACGACAACTGCTGCTCCTTCTCCTGCCCCCCCCTGACCGTTAAGCTGCAGATGTGCGGTTGCTGTTCTATGCCATCAGGTGGAGGTCGTCGAGCTCTTCCGGGCCCGGGGGATACTCCCGAAACATCTCGAGGCTTATAGGTGAGGAGGCCGAGGAGGAGGAGGAGAAGGTGGTGGTGGTGGCGGAGGAGGAGGAGGAGGAGGAGGAGGTGGTGGTGGTCGTGGTGGTGGGGCAAGCTGAGCAGATTGTCAGAGGCCCTCGAGGAGGGGGACAAGGCGAGCAGCAAGGAGAGAAGCGAGTGTTGGGACCTTGGGAGGCTCGAGGATTCACTTCATTCCGGCCTGCCGGATTCTCTGGCTCGTAAGATCGCCTTGGCTGCTGTCTTGCCCTTCCGATTCTTGAGGTTCGGATCGGCTCCGAACTCCTCGATCAGGACCTGCCGACGAGAGTGAAGGAGGGGAGAGCAGGATAAAGTCTCATTAGAAGTCTTCCCACCCGCACTGCCTCCCACGCCTTGGCCTTCACAGCGAGGTAGAGGGGAGAGTTTCCTGCCCTTGTGTCACTTTTATCCGTGTCTCATCTCTACCTGCCTTCTTCGTTCTGTGCGTCCACTTCCGCCCCTGCCCTGCAGAGCAGCCGCACGACCTGAGAACTCTGAGCTCGCTCTCTCCCCCTCCCTCTCCCTCCCTTCCCCCCCGCCCCCCCGGATCCTCCTCCCCTTCCTCCTCCTCCTCCTTCTCGTACATCGACGTGATTGTTGCTCGCTGCCCAGTGGAGGATGTGCCATCCCTTGCGATCTACAAAGTTTACGTTTGCACCATGCTCCTGCAGGCCACACTCAACGAGGGAGAGAGTGCGGGGGCAGGAGCAGAGCAAGAGTCGATTCTTGCCAGAAGGAGGCTGACAACTTCCGCATGCCCATTCTCAGCCGCCGCCTACAGCAAGAGCAGTTACAGAAGCGAGAAGCGGGGGGGGGGGGAGACGGAGGGAAGGAGAAGGAAGCAGCAAAGGGAGGAGCCGTTGCGAGCTGATACGGGTCGGAGAGTAGGGGAAAGAGGAAGTGGAGGAGGATGAAAACGAGGAGGAGGACGAGGAGACCTTGAGGGGAGTGTAGTTGACGAGGTAGAAGCAATGAGGATGCAGCTCTCCTCCACTCGATACCTTCACCATCTTCATTACCTCGTCATCGGTCTCATCATGCTCACCGCGTCTACGTCGCTGCTGTTGACGGAGAGGAGGAAGCGGCAGATCTCCGCATGCCCTGGCCGGCTTGTCATGTCGAGGGAGAAAGGGAGCAAGGGGCTACCTCGAGAGGAGGCGAAGAAGAGGCAACGAGGAGCGTACGGGTCGTAGGAGATGTCGGGGGGGAGAGGAAGGTTGGGGGGGAGCTGAGCACGGGCTCTTGGAGGAGCGCAGACGTCAGCACCCTTGGCGACGACGCTCTTAAGCAGGTCCAACTCTCCGTTGATAGAAGCCTGTCGAGCCCGCTCGCACAAACAGTCGAAAACCTGAGACAGCACTCAGCCCCTTCTGCCACCTCCTCCTCCTGCCTTGCTCTTGCTTCTTCCCTCTTCCTCGCGCTCTTTCTCCAGCCTCACACCCACTGGCACCCCCCCATGCCGCTGCTATTTTGTCCCCTCCCTGTCGTCCTCCCCCTCCTTCTCGCCTGTGTATAGAGCGACTTCGCATCCTTGAGGTACTCCTGGAGTGTCGCGATACTTCGTCCGTCTTCGTCCAGCGGGATCTTATGACAATTCATAAGGAAGGTGAGAGAGAGCAAGAGCAAGGGCAAGGGCAAGGGCAAGGGCAAGGGCAAGGGCAAGGGCAAGGGCAAGGGCAAGGGCAAGGGCAAGGGCAAGGGCAAGGGCAAGGGCAAGGGCAAGGGCAAGGGCAAGGGCAAGGGCAAGGGCAAGGGCAAGATATCTCGAGTCCGCACCTGGTTCTCCTTGCAAGAAATGGAGGCATCATCGTCGGGAGGAAGAGAATCCCCCGCTGTCGCGTTGAGGTATCCTCCCGGAGCGAACTCGCTGACCCTCTCGATCTCGTAGACGAGGTCCCTGATAAGCTGATTGACTTCGGCCAGGGTAACCTGCCGGCACTGGTGGTCAGCTCCAGCAGCGGACAAGCAAGCTCACCTTGTTCGACACCAGGTTCTTCGATTCCTCTGCAGCATATCTGCATGGAGGAGGTGAGAAGAAAGGCGGAAGAAGAGAAGAGGGACAGGCGAGATTGAACACGATCAGGCATACAAGGACAGCTGGGGTTTGAGGCAACGGTAGCCGGACAGTGTCGAGAACACCTGACTTCGATGCGGACTTTCTTGACGACGATGAATCCTCGGTTCACGATACGTCGAGCTTCTTGTGGGCTGATGGAGGGGGTCAGAAAGATCACCTCAGCCTTCTTGCCTCACGTCGCGTAAGTCACGAAGGCGAACCCGGCGCTGTAAAGGATGTTGTCTTGCCTCTTGATAACGTCGCACGACACAACCTGAAACGTCTCAGCTCACGCCGCGTCATCTCCCCTCTTCCTCGTCGTCTTTCTCCTCCTCCTCCTCCTCCTCCTCCTCCTCGACCTCCCCGAATCTTCTGAGGACGGGAAGCAATTCCGACGCGATGAGCTGCGAGCACGGGGAGTCAGAAGGGGAGACGGAGACAGCAGGAGGAGGGTTGACCTGTCTTGTTCCCCCGAGGAAGACCTTGTTTGTCTTGCCCGTCTGCGTGTTCCTCACCTTAGAAAACTCTCGATCCGCCATCTTGGAGAAGACGATCTGCTCCCTGATGCGCATGGGCCCATGGCTGATGCACTGCAGCGGCCGGTGAGCGTGGCAGCGAGCGACCGAACCCTCACCTTCATCGCCTGCGCGCTGCTCGCAAACATGACAAACGCGTATCCCTTCGGCTCATCGGTCACTTGGTCGCGGATCACCACCAGGTCTGCAACGTCAATTGAGTTTCCCAACCTCCTCCTCCTCCTCCACCAGCACCACCACCACCACCTCCTCCTCCTCCTCCTCGTCCTCGTCCTCCTTATCGTCCTCCTCGCATGCTGTTGACTTATCACCATCAATCTCGCCGCAGAGCCGTTCGATGTTCACCCATAGCTCCCATTCTATCCAACAGCATCAGCAGCGCGATCAGCCAACTAGCCTGACCTTGTAAGTCTCCTGTGTTGCCCAGGAACACCGACCGCTGCGCAAGTTTGCTGTCTTGAGGGGGGGGCCTCTCCCTCGCACTCGCCCTGCCGCCCATATTGGAGATGAGCTGAGCATCAGCAGCAGCGTCGGTCACCCTGGAAAGAACAAGCAGGAGGCGTCAAGGTCAGCTCGCAAGCGCTTGAGCAGCCAGAGGACCTGTCGGGCTCGACCATGCCCTGCTCTTGTGACTGAGAGGATCGCCGGGGGATCCACACCTTGGGTCGCTGCATGTACTTGCTCCTCAGCGACCTCATGTCCTGCTCTTCCCTGCCCTTCTCCTTCATGTCCGCGTCTCCTCCTCTCAGCCGACAGAGGCAGGGCAGCGATCGCGGTACCCCTGCACCCGCAAGCGGCTCATGGCGAGAGCTGCAGGAGACGGTGAGGAGGAGGAGGGCGGCGGAGGTGACGTGCTTGAGCATGTTCTACTGGACCGCTGCTTGCTTCATGTGCTCCAGGAGCGGCGGGGGAAGCAGCGGGGGAGAGGGGGGGGCGGGAGAGCGGGGGGGAGGGGGGGGAGGGAGGGGGGGAAGGGAGGGGCGCAAAGGCGGTGGAAAAAGAAAAAACAGACTGAGGGAGGGAGCGGTGAGGAAGTGAATGTAAGTGAGGTAGGAAGAGAGAGAAGGAGAGAGAGATGGGGAGGTTGATGTGCGCCATGATGATGATGGTGAGCGGCATGATTGCGGGAGAGAGCCGACAACACGCCATGGCGTTCGGCCTGATGCAGGGAGTTGGCATGACGAGAGGGTCGGGGTCGCTGGCATCCTCGACTTCATCCTCCCGCTGCCTCAACATGCAGCTCGGAGGTGCCATGGAGGACAGCCGAGTCTTCATCTTCGGTCTCGGATACGTGGGCCAGGCCCTCGCCAAGCATCTCCAGCAGCGCTGGGGATGTCAAGTCAGCGGGACCTCGCGGTCCGGCAGAGAGGCAGAGAGGCTGAGCAGCCTTGGGATCCGGACCTTCCTCTTCTCGGGGGGGGAAGAGCCTCTAGCGCTGTGCGAGGAGGGGCAGGGGAGGCTGCGGGAAGCAACCCACGTCCTCTCCACGATCCCCCCCAGCTCGAACGGGGACCCTGTGCTAGTGGAGCACTGCGAGACGCTGAGGAGCCTCCGCAGCTCGTGGGTCGGCTTCTTGTCTACCTGTGGCGTCTACGGCGACCACGAGGGCGAGTGGGTGGACGAGGAGAGCGCGACGAGGGTGGGGCAGGAGGATCGGGCGGCCCAGTGGCTGCAGGTACGTCAACCTTGGAGCATGCGACCTTGACTGAGGGCGAGGGAGGCGGAGGAGAGGTGGCGAGCCTGCACGGGAGGAGGAGGAAACGTCTTCCGGCTCGCTGGGATCTATGGGACAGGACGATCAGCCATCGATTCCGTCAGGTCCTCCATGGCCCTCCCTCCTCTTCTTCCTCCCTCCTCCTCTTCCCTCTCATCCCTCTCCTTGCTCCTCCTCCTTCCCCCTTCCCCTCCTCATTCTGCCTCCCTCTTCCCTTCCTCCTCATCTTCCTCGCTCCTCCTCCTCCTCCTCCTCCTCCTCCTCCTCCCTGATCTTGAGGGAGCGCAGGAGTGGCCGGGCCGCGAGGGAGGACGAGGACAAGCTCGTGTCTCGCATCCATGTTGAAGACATCTGCAGCGTCCTCCGCGTCTCGATGGAGTCAAACTCCCAAGCTCGAGTATTCAACGTGGCTGACGACTACCCATGCTCCCGCAGTGAGGTACCGTACATGAAGACACTTGCATCTTCCCGCTCCTGCTGCTCTCCTTCTCGTCCTCCTCCTCGTCCACATCATCATTATCATACCGCCCCTTCCCTTCCTGATTCCAGCACAGGTATACAACTTTGTCAGGCATCTGCTGGAGCAGGAGGGAGTCGAGGTTCCCGACGCAGCAGCAGCAGCAGCAGTCACCGATGTGGGCAAGAAGGGGAGGAGGGCGCGGAGAGGCAGCAAGAAGGTCAGCAACCGAGGATCAAGAGAGAGCTCGGTATCGTGCTGGGGAGGAAAAGTCTTGGAGCTGACCCCCAGCAGGCGTCGAGCTTGCTTATCCGAGCTACCGTGAGGGGCTTGCGGCTGTCTTGGAAGAGTTGAAGGCATCGGGCGAGCTGACGAGCAGCAGCCGAGGGGAGGCAGGGAAGACTTGACATGAGTTCAATACAATACCCGATTCTTGACATGAGTTCAATACAATACCCGATTCTACAACGTGCCCTGCTTCTTGAGCACCCCTCGCCCTACTGGACGCGTCGATATCTCCACGGGACCTGAAGGGTCGAAGTGAGTTGGAGCCAAGCAGCGAGGAAGGAAGAAAGAGAAAGAAAGCATCAAGGAGGCAGCGAGAACGAGGCAGTGGACGACGAGGGAGGAAAGAGAAAAGGAGGGAGAGGGTGACCATTGTTGTTCGATCGTGGGATGAAAGGGAAAATTCCTCTCCCGATGTTCTCAAAAGTGCCCAGAATCCCCGCGCCAACCTCCCCTATCCTCTTCGCCTCTGTTGGCTTGCTGCCGAATAGCCCCCGGCCCTGTGACGCGATGAAGCCCCAGCCTTCCTCTTGCCTGCCAATGGGACACGTCAGCCTCCAACCTCCTGCTTCCCACACTCACAGGTTCCTCGCCGTCGGCAACCTTGTGCTTCTGGTTGTGAGAGCGCCGTCGAGGCTCTTCCTCGGAGGAGGGGTGGAGAAGTTGAAAGGAGAGAAAGGAAGATTGACTTTGATGGCGGAGGGCAGAGGGTCGAAGCCGAAAGGGCCCGAGATCGCTTCCGAGACCTTGGAGAGATTGGACGTGTTGGAGTCGACTCCCTTCCCCCGGCCGTTGGTGAGCATCACCTCAGGGGCCGCGGCCCGAGGGGTCTGTCGGATTTGATCAGAGGGAAAGGGAAGGAGAAGGTAGCACAGTACCATCACAAGCTTCTTCGGCCGAGGCGTGCACTGGTCAGCTCCAAGGATCTCCTTCTCGAAGCCGGACAAGCGACCGTGCAGGTCGTCCATGTCATTGACAAGTGCCTGTGGGCGGATGAGGGAGGGAAGATTCTCGAGTGGACCTTCAAGCGCAGTTCAATAAGAACTCACGTTGGATTTCTCTACTAAGAGGGAAAGCGGTGAAACAGTCTTTCTCCAGCACCCCCTTGTCCAGCAAGGGAGGTTCGTTGGACGTGTTGAAATTTTCCTGCATCGGACTTCAACCAGCCAGAATGCGTGGGATGCGCAGCCATCACCAGCAGCACGGGAGCGAAGTCTCGATTCATTTGCGCCTCCTCCGCCAGGATCCCCTTGATGGTCATGAGGGCAGTGACAATCCTCTTCTTGTTCCAACGCCCGTCCAGTTTCTTTCGAGATTTGATCAGACGCGCGCAGAAAGACAAGACAAGTTCCTCACGTCTGCCTGCATCACGCTCGAGAGCTCTCGCAGCTGAAAGCGCCTCAGCGCCTGTTTGATCATGACCATGAACTCCTGGATACCTGCGAAAACACTTGGATAAGTGCGTCGGAAAATTCTTCATGCATGCTTTCTTATATCTATCCCTCTGTGTCTCTCTGTCTCTAGACGTAGATGTGCATGCATACACGCAAACACGTGTGTACAGATGTACAGATTCATCAAAGGCCCTGACTTCTTGTGCTTCGTACCCATGTATCCATGCGCATCGCAGAGCTTCTTTTCCTCGACGTACTTCTCCCAGTGAGGCCGATGAAACATGATTGGAGGTATACAGCTGATAAACGCTTAATTTCACTCGAAACACATCAGGGCAAACCTCACCCCAGGTTCAAGAAGCCATGATACAGGTTCGTATGATTCAGCCTAGTGTTCTCCCCTCCGGTCAGGTCGGCTGCCCGAACGATTCGAATGAAGAGGAACGTGATGCGCTTTTCCAGGTCGTCCACATCATGATACGTGCACAAGTCTTTCGCTATGATTGTGAGAGGACAGCGGTCGTGAACCGGAGCTTTCTCCTTGACCTTGTGCCGCTCCATCTGAAGTGAAGTCGACTTGGTCGCCGCTCGAGCGAATTCATCCAGGAGCACCGCAATCACAACATTGACTAGAACAAAGGAGACCAGAAGCTGGTAGCTGACAAAGAAACTGCAACGCCGGGCCCGTTCCCGGTGAGTATGAAGAGCTGTCGAGAGATGTAGGCCCAATTATCTCCCGTAAGGATCTGAAACATGGTGAACATGGTCGTGAAGAAGTCACCAAAGTACTCAGGCCAGCTGGAGCTGAAGAAAGAAACAGCCATGATCGAATAGATGCATGTGACAAGACAGACAAGGGCAAAGGCGTTCATCATCGGCGGGATAGAGAGGTTCAGAGCAATCAAGATCTGGCGGAGCGACGGGACCCTCTTGAACAGTCGGAAGACCCTGAAAGTCCTCAGCAGTCGCAGCACCTTGATCACAAAAGTCAGATGGTTGCAACACAGGAAGCTACATCAGCACCGAGATCCCAGGGACGTTGGGACTGAAGTTTGCGACGACGGAGATAAGCACAACGGTGGTGTCAAACCAGTTCCAAGCATCCCGTATGAATTCATTGACAAGAGTAGAAAACATGTTGGTGATGAGCTCCAACAAGAAAAGCCCAGTGAAAGATGAATCTATGAAGTTGAGGATGTACCTCAGACCGGCAAGATGCTCATCTTGCAATTGACTGTCCATGATATTTACAACAAAGTTGAGTGAGATCATCGTGGCGATTACAATCTGAGTTCGGTCTCCCAGGTATAACCATCTCACATACCTCCGATAGGTCTGCAGTCTTGTCATCGGAACAAAACTTGAACGATCATAATGCCTCATGATGCGCGCGATGCTAGAAACCCACACATCCAACTCTTCGTACGAGCTCGTCTCAAAAACGAACTGCCGCCCCCGATGATACCCCTTCAGACTGGTGCATATGGAAAACTGCAGATCCTGCAGAGTGCCCAGCAGTTCCTTTGCCTTAAGCCTCTCTACTTCATACTCCGGGTCCATCGAGAAGATGGCATCAAATTCTTCATCCTCCATTCCGCAAAAAACGATGCCACAAACATCTCCAAAGTAGATTCTGTCCAGCACGCAGCCACCATCCGTGTTCCCATACGAAATGTACTCAGAGGTTAGACAAATATTCCTCAGCAGAAAGGCGCTGGTTGGATAGAAACCACGTTTGCGAAGCGCTCCTTCCAGCCATACGGTGTGACTATCCAACAACTGAGCGTCCGTTAGGTCTTGTAGTTTTCCAGACAGAGGCTTCTTTGATTTCCGTTTCACTGTTCCCACCTTTCGGCGCAATATGGCGCCTATTCTCAAGAGTGCACGCATACCTCCTCAATCCAGGATCGACGGGGAGCTGCGGCAACTCCAGAAGGTTACGAAGAATACCTGCCCTACACTTCGAACGATCGTCTCCTTTAACTCATTGTGGTGTCCGGTTCGAAGAGCTATGACGGAACCATATTTATGTCTGGACGGCTACCAACGCGGAGATAGGACGATGGAGCATGGCCTTTACCACATTGAGTGGCACGACGGTGGGCAAGGCTAAGAAGCGGAAAGAACGAGTGGCAATGCGGCAAGGAGAAGAGGTTCAGAGCAGCAAGGAAGAAAGAAGTGATGTGGGTGGTAAGTAAGGATAGAAGCAGGAGCAGGAGCAGGAGCAGGAGCAGGAGCAGGAGCAGGAGCAGGAGCAGGAGCAGGAGCAGCAAGACGCCTAAATTTCCTTTCGAGCTGCCAGCATCAAGCGGTAGGGCAGGAGCACCCCTATGAAAATAATCGGGTGGGGGTTTACTTGTGGGGGTGGGGGTGCGATAACGAGGACAAAAAGGACCCTTGGGGTACAAAAGTTACACACATAACCCGTACCTTGAAGTATTGCTTTGATTTCAAAAAAGGGGGTACTTTAGATGGTTTTACAAATTTGGGGGTAGGGTGTGGAGTTTTACTTCCAATAGCAGGTAGGGGTACTGATTGAGTGGGTGAAGCTTGTGTCTTTAGTAAACTGAAAGATATTATTCTATAACGGTATTTGCTCCAAGGGTGGGTCCTTTGTAGGAAATAGATAGGTGGTACAAAGAAAGTATAACGGTTTCTGTGTTGTAAAGTAGGTAAGCTAAAATAGAAACAAAAGTAGGTAAGCTAAAGGAGAGTGACTTTTTGCGTCGGCCGGGCGCCCGGGCCGCGGTGGCAGGCGATCCGACCGGGCCCGGCACAAGGTTCCGGGCCCCGGGAATTTCCGACAGCCGGGCAGTGCCACCTGACGGTCGGACATGAAACTCATCGTACTTGTTAGAGGCTTGGTGAAAGTTGGGCCTGCCTGACCCGCCTCAGTTGCCGAGTCACGCCCGGGCCGCATCCGGGCCGTGCCAGTCTGTGACTCAGGGTGATGATCGACTGACTTGCAACTTCCGAGCCATCCCGGGCCCCTCAGAGGCTATGGGGCCGGCCCCCGGCCGGGCCTTGACACTGATCGGACTCTCCGAGTCACCGACCGGGCCGGGGGCCGCACTCGGAAGCCCGGGCCCGGCCCGACGGCGGGCTTCACTGAGTGACACCCGGCGATCCGAGCAGGCAAACAGATTCCCCGGAATGGCGGCAGAAGCGACTGGTGAGAGGCTATGGCCGAGACGGGGGAAGAGGAGGTGGCGGTGGAGGAGGAGGTTGAGGAGATCGTGGATGAAGAGAACAAGATCGTATCACAAGCTTCCTTGCGCCATTGAGTCGTTTTGGTGCTCCGTCTTGACTTTGATTGTTTGCTTTGATCTGGGTACTGTAGCGCGCTGGGTTGTATGCTCGCATTCTGCAACTCTGTTGCTGCCACTTTGAGCCCGAAGAATGAGTTTCTCATCCTCTCTGATACTTTGAATGATCCTAGGAGAGGCAGATCCTTGAGATGTCAGCGACCCAAGTCCCCTTTGGGAGCGCTCCGCACAAGACCGAACTCCCGTACGACTCATTGCAGTTCCGCAACAGACTGCGGGCGCTGCAATGCCTGGTCGAAGACGAAGACTGCCTTCTCTTCATTACAGGTCTGAACCTTCATGCCGAGGTGTGCTGACTGATGCGCGTGAAGGCATTGATGGAAACTACAACCTCGGGGCTACCATTGCTCTGAATTACTTGTTCTTCGGAAGTTCCGGGATGCAAGTTTGGCATGCAAGGCGTGACAGCTCCTTTGACGATGTGGATCTTGATCTCCTCCTCTTCCTCCCACTTATCTGTGATGCAGTGCTTCTTTGCCATTGGCAAGTCTCGGACACACCTCTACACAGGCTCCGTCGAATCCTTTTGGAAGCTGTACGACCTGTGCGCACCGGTGCGGGGACGCGCTTGCTCTGTTCTGTTGAGCATCAGCGCTGACTTGACGTGCTCTGCCTGCTTTCAGATACATCAGCTCGAAGTCGTGACGCTCTCTCCCAGAGAGGAGGATGACGTGGACCTCGCGGAGGAAAGGAAGGTGATGACTTTCCTCGACTTCACCGACAAGTTTCGAGCCGTCTCGATGGACCTGTCGAAGCCTGTGCATGGCAATCTGTCACAGGGGCTGGAGGCTGATCAACCTCAAGTTGTAGAACACTGGCCTCTCATCCAAGTCTTCGGGATCCAGGAGCTCGGGAGTGAGAAGTTGTCGACGAAGAATCACGAACTTTCTGACTGTCTCTGCAGACCGAGGCTTTTTCACTATGAACCATCCTGTCAAGGACATCTCTGACAAGCTCATGAAGCTCTACTTACAAGTCGACTCCCACTCGCTGGAGGGCAGTTTGACGTACAGGTTGTTCAAATACGTTGCATGGGCTCACGATTGCAAACAGGCAAGACCTTGACATGCTGGTGTTTCACTGGAAGACTTGTACGAACATCCTGAACCAGACTGCGGCACATGAACGTCTGAAGGTGACAGGACTGAGATGCTTCGTGTGCACAAGTTTCTTGACTCCCTTGTAGTTGACAGAGGACGCGATCGTGGAACCGCTTGCCAGTTACTTCGAGTACGGAATCCTGAGGGCTTTCAATCAACATGCGCAGAGCTCTTGGAAGCCACGTGCGACCTTCGGGTTGAGAACGAACGAGAAAAGTTCGCATGCCATCGCAAGCATCAAGGTGATGGTTGCAACCCTTCCCTGACATGTGTCGATCTGTGATTTCGACTTCACAAACCCTTGATGATTCCCGATGCATTAGGTGGAAAACTCTGGAATAGATCAAAAACCAGCAGTTCACTTTGTCATCGAAGCTGCAGAGCCAAACGGGCCGTTGCGAACAGCTCGAACATACTTTCTAAGTGAGTGGATGAAAAACTGACTTTCTAAGCGTTGCTGATCGTAACATGCTACAGGCAATGGGGGTGCTGGGGCAAGGGTGAGAACTTTTGATTGGGACGGCAATGAGACCAAGCAGGAGGACAACAGACTAGAAAGAGCTGGGAGGTCAGCGTACGCGAGATACCTCATGATGGCCTACTGCGCTGTGATCCACGTGCACGAGAAGCTGATGAAGTCTTGGTGCGAGGGAAGCGTGTCAAGCGTCGCCGACCTAAAGAAACATGCGACCGAGAGCCTGAAAGCCCTGGACCTCGACTGGTTCCGCAACTATGATTTCGAATCGGACCTGGATGTTCAACTCCTGGCGTTCGACAACATCGGCAACCCTGTCGAGGCTGTTCGGGGATCCCCTCACATGAAGTATCTGAGAGTGAACATGTATCACGTGAAGAGCTTGGATCAGACTCCGACGGATCTAGGAGCGGTCTGCTACGGAGACACCTTCCTTGATCTGCGATCCTCCTCCTCGCATCCGAGCCAACCGTCCAAGTCCAGATTCCTCAACGTGACTGCTCCCATTCCACGTCACCAGGGATGGATTCTACCTGGGCAGGAAGAAGACACCGAGTATATGTATGCTCTTCTATCACGCCTGCAGGCCTCCAAGAGGAACCGGCACAACTCCATGGGAGCGCTGCTGCTCGAGAGCCCCCTCGAAGGGTTTTGCCTGTGCACACATATAAAGGAGCTGCCGAGGGTGTACGGTGACCTCTGGGTGCTGGAGAAAGGATTGATCTTCTCGAGTCACCAGCTGGGCTCTCTGGCCCTTGACTTGAAGCACGATGTCTCCTCCTGCGAGCTCTTCAACGTTGACTTCGTCGCCCGTGACGACTGCGAGCTCGCGTTTGCGGTGTTCGAGGTCAAGGAAGGAATGCAGCGCTATGGCATCACCGAGGTATCCCTCTCGCCCCGCAACTCTCGCCTCGTGCTCGCCTCCAGCGCTTCCGACAGGAGGAAGTTCGCAAGGGATGTGTGTCCCAGCTGGAGGTCGAGCTTGGAGGCGGATGGAGTGAGAGTGAGAGTAGTGGAGAAGGAAGAGCTCGAGCAGTTCAAGGAAGCCAACCACGTCACCTTGGATGCCGAGCACACAGCTCGCAAACAGGAGTTAGACAGCTTCCTCAGCTGCTACCGTGAGCAGGAAGCCCTCGTTATGTGCCCTGCCTTCCCGGAGGCAGCGGATAGGCAGAGGGATCAGGTAGGCGAGCAGGAGCTCATCGTGGTTGTCGGGCAACCGTGCTGCGACAAGAAGAGGCTCGTGGAGAAGATGATCGACATCTCCGGGGACCGCACCGCCTACAACCTCATCACGTACACCTCGACCAACTGCAGCCGGGGAGACCTCGAGGGCCTCCAGCAGGTGCTCCTCAGCAACGCGTCCTCTCATCGAGGTGACCTGCCGCATCCTCTCGCCGTTGCTGTCGTTCACGTTGGTGTTGCAGGCAAGGTCCACGTGCTCGTTCTATCCACGTTTAGCTCCGTCCTCCCCATCGCTGAGTTCCTTGCTGGCAACGAGGAGCTCCGCAGGACCGTGAGGCTCAGGAAGATCCACAGCGTCCTCGACGCTCCTTCTGTTGTTCGCTCCGAGAGTCTCTCCGTCCATCCTTCATGCTCGCAGCAGATCCTCGCCGGCATCGTCTCCTGCATCCTCCTCGTCAACGTGGAGCAGGCAGAGGACATGACCCTCGTTCAGCGGATGCTCAAGGGCATCAACCACCACAGCCGCTTGCTCCTCACCATCGCTGGCTCGCTGACGAAGCAGGCGGACATCGAACTTGTGCTGGGAGGAGGTGGCGACCTCTCGTTCGCCAGCGACAAGATGCGCGGCATCCGCGCCTCGTTGTACCCTGAGAGTTTTGCGAGGAGGGGAGGGGCTTTGCCCAGCTGCTCGACACCTGAGAAGTTCGAAAGGTTTCGATTTCCGCTGCCTCCTTCACTTTGTCTCTCCAAGCAGCTGCTCGTCCGCTCCTTGCGGCCTCTCTTCGCTACCAAACTCGGTGAGCGATGCCTCGCCCTTCCTCCCCATCACAGCTTTAGCTTTCCTCCTCCCCCCCTCTTCCCTCACCCCCTCCCTCCCTCCCTCCCTCTCTCCCTCCCTCCCTCCCTCCCTCCCTCCCTCCCATCGCTGACAGCCTTATTCAGACAACATCCAGTCGTTCGCAGCAGCTGCCAGCAAGCAAAAAAGCATGAACCTCATGTGCGTCAAGATTTGCGCGAAGTTTGCGGGGGAGGAAGGGAAACCAGCTGAGCTCAAGATCATGAAGCTGAGGCGTCGGAGCCTCGTCATCACCCCCCTGCCTGCTGGGGCTGAGCTGAGCCTAGAGGCTGGCGGACAGCACGTAGACCTCCAGCTCATCATTTCCTCCGTCCTCGCCGGTCGCTCGAGCGTCCCCAGGCTGCTGGTGGTGACGAAGGAGGTGGGGGCGGGGGCTGACGAGCAGCTTGCAGGTGCCGCGGAAGGCGGAGGAGGTGGGGGCGGAGGAGCGGGAGAAGCTGAAGGAGAAGCACAGGGAGGAGAGCTTGCCCGAGGGCTTCTACTACAACGGGATGAAGTTCGTGGACTTCGAGGGGAACGTGCTGAAAGAGCACCCGCTCATGTCGTCGTGGATCGCCGAGTTGCTGAAGGAGGAGGCGCGAGGTGAGAGGCGAAGGAGGAAGGGAGGAGGTGACGAGGCTGTGTGCAGAGATGGAGCAGAAGAATCAGAGCATCCGGCAGGCGATGGAGGCGGTGGAGGAGGAGGAGCGAAGGTGCATGTTGCACGCAGCAGAAGCGAAGGCGATGTGAGGAGGGAGGAGGCAGCAGGGGAGGAGGAAAGAAATGATCTACTTTACATCTTCCAAAGAGCACAAGAGCCCGTGACCCTCAGCTTCTCGTGGAGGAGGAGGGACTTGAACCTCAGGGCCCTTCCGTCACATCGCAGGGTCGCATGGCAGGAGAGGACGCGGCGTTGAGCTCCTTCCACGCCCTCTCCCCGCTGCTGAGCTTCAGCTGGAGACTCTCTTGGATCTCCCGCATCTTCTGCTCGTGCGCAGACGTGCTCTGCCTGATCTTTGCGCGGGTCTTGTCGTCCTGCTGGGGAAGAGCTGAGTGGACGGCAGTTGCGAGCTTCAGGTCCCTCTCCCGCGTCTGCTTCCTGTACTTGCCGTTCTTCCCCGCCGCCTTCTCCACCATCTTGAGCTTTGCGCTCTCTGCTGCTCGGCAGATCCGCTCGAGGCGTATGGCGACGATCTCCCTCCTCTGCCGCTGCGCGTCCTGCTGGTACCAGTCCAGGAACTTGAGGATTTCCTTTACGTCATCCGCCCCCTCGCCGCCCTCCTCCATGCCCTCCTCCTCCCGGTCCAGGTCCATGCTGCCGCTCTGCCGGACATGCCGGGAGGGGAGGAAGCGCTCGGCAACCTCGGCGTCCTCGATGGCCTTGAGGATGATGCGACGGTTCTCCTCGACTTGCCCGAGCACATTGCGGAACACGAGGATCATGGCGACCTGCAGGTCCTGCTCCTGCGGGAACGAGTGGAAGAGGCGGAGGAGGAGCTCAAGGCCGCAGCCCTCGCGGAAGGAAGCCTTCTCCGCCACCCACTCGAAGCTGAAGCCCTGCATGAGCATGGCGGCGCCAGAGGAGGAGAGAGGAGCTTGAAGGCAGTGGATGATGAGCTTGTCCCGCAGGTCGAGGAGACCGACCTCAAGCATCATCGTCCTGATCTGATTTGAGTTGCGATTCGCCACCCGATTGAGGATCCTGACAACGCGAAGCGGGAGAGCAGGGGAGGAGGAGGAGGAGGAGGAGGAGGAAGATGAAGGAGAGGACAAAGAGGAGGAGGACTCGACAAGACGTCGGAAGATCCGCTCCAAGCTCTTGAGCACGGCGTTGACGTTGGGAGTCTGAGCCGGAGAAATCTCAGCGTTCTCCTCTAGCCGCTGGAGAATCTGGGATGCAAAAGTTAGTCCAGCGTGGACGGATGAGGAGGAGAACGAAAGGGTTGGAAGGAAGGGAATGCTTGCAGGTAGGAGGAGGTAGAGGGTTACCTCTTCCAGGACGGGGAGATACAGCAGGTCGTTTCGAATCAGCTCCTTCACATTCAGAACCTTCACGTCCTGCCACAGCCCGTGCCATGCCATGCTCCCTGCCACCCTCCCGATCGTCTCCCTCAGTTCTCTCTGCGTCCGCTCCCACTGGTCCCCTCGCCCTCGCCCTGCCCGCCCCTCCTCCTCCAGCCGCATGAGGATGCGTCGGCAGCAGTCAAGGCCGCCGGAGAGGAGGAACTTGACGGAGCTGAAAGGGTCGTCGAGGAGGAGGAGGACGCGCTTGCAGACGTCTAGACTCGCATCTTCCTCCTCGAGAGCAGGGAGAAGGTTCAGCAAGACCTGTAGGAGGTAGAAGTTCGGAAGCAGCACGGGCTCTTTCTCTGCCCTGCTCTCCGCCGCAGCCTTCCGCAGCAGCGCTGACGTGGCGTGCTGGAGCAGCGCATTGACGAGCATCATGCTGCTCCTCTGCGCTGGAGGACCTCAAGCATGAGCTCGAAGCCGCAGGACTTGAGGAAGAGCTTGCAGTCCTTGGGGGAGGAGAGGAGGAGGGCCAGGACATCGACGCCCCTGCAGCGCAGGCTCTCGTCCTCTGAGGAGAGGAGGCAAAAGCCGAGCTGGAACCCTCCTGCCGCTCGGAGGTAGTCGAGAGGGACGACAGAGGAGGAGGAGAGGGTGAGGAGGAGGAGCATGAGGTCGTTGTTGACCTGCGAGAGGTGCGGCAGGTGCATCCGACCGATCACCGCTTGCATGATCTCCGACACGTCGTTGACTGTCCACAGCCTGCAGGACCAGTCAGATGCATGGAGGAAGTGGGAGAGGCGAGGAAGGGAAGGTGAGGATTGCGAGGAAGGCAGAACAGAAGAAAGAAGGGAGGAGGGGGAAGAGGAAGTGGGGAAGGAGGATGAAGATGGAAAGGTGAGGATAGGAAGGGGAGGATCGAGGAGGAAACTGGACCAGACATGGCGTGCAAGGAAAGGTTTGAACTTACGGCGCAAGCTGCTGCATGAGGGAGATGGAGATGGTCCAGAAGGAGGGGGGGAGAGCATCAAGAAAGTAGAGGAGGCGAGAGGTCCCGAGGAGAGGATACGACATCCACATGGTCCGGCTGCTGCTGGAGGACATGAAGCTGTCCTCAAGCACCCGCAGCAGGTCGCGCTGGATGTCGGAGGAAGAGGAGGGGATGAGGTCGACGAGGAGGAGGGAGACTTCAGGGTCTCTGAGGGTCTTTCCTCCTACCTCCTTGGAGGAGAGGTGCAGGAGGAGAGACATGACGGGGCCTTGGTCTCCTCCCCGGCCCAGCTGCTGGTGCACGACGTAGCAGAGAATCTGCAGGATGGTGTGAGGAGGGAGCGAAGAGAGAGAGGAGGGAGGAGGGAGGAGGGAGGAGGGAGGAGGACGGAGGAAAAGAGAGTGGAGACGAAGTAAGGGAGAAGGTAGGGGAGGAGAGGCTGCGAAGGAAGTACAGCAGAGGAATGGGGGATGAAAAAGAGGAGGAGGAGGAGGAGGAGGAGGAGGAGGAGGAGCAATGGGTTTCATACGCTGCATCCTTTTGCTGCCAGGAAAGCTCTGAAATTCGGTTCCCAGCGGACGAGAAGACCAACAAGAACCTCAAGCGCTTGAAGTTGAAGCTGCTCCTCTTGCGGAGAGATGAGCCTGCTCCCGACATTATCTCTCCTCTCCTCCCTCCCCTCCCCTCCCCTCCCCTCCCCTCCTCTTTTCTCTCTTTCTCTGGCTTCTGCTGCTCACCTTAGCGCTAGTTGAATGCCCCCGATCTGCAGAATCGTAAGGAGAAGGAAGTGAATGATGGGGAAACGAGACTGAGATTGGTTTCGCTACATCCACGCAATGGTGATGTTGATGATGATGATAACGGAGATGATGACGATGATGATGATGATGATGATGATGATGATGATGATGATGATGATGATGATGATGATGATGATGATGATGATGATGATGATGATATCGCACCTTCCACATGACATCCAGCAGGCAGGATGTCCGATGAGCTTGAACGGCACCCACAAGCTCGAAGCACATCCCTTCCTCCCCGCGCGACCGTGTGCTCTTCCCCTTGCCCGGGCTTGACTCAAGTCGGACGATGTCCAGGAACGATCCATTGCTGATAGAGGCCGTAGAGACTCCATTCCTCCTCCTCCTCCTCCTCCTCCTCCTCCTCCTCCCGCCCCGGCCCCCACAGCACCAACCGCTCCCCCACCCTTGGACACAGAGATCTTGTCCACCACATCCTCCAGCAGGTCCGCCAGCTTCTTCCCGCTCCTTGTCTGCGTGTCCAGCACAGACCCCAGCACTTCTCCGATCACTCCCCGTCGCGAGCAGGCCCGAGGATGCACCGTCATCAGCGCCTTCACTTCCCCCCCCTCCATCCCCAGCTGGTCTCCACCCAGCGGTCCCCCCGCAAACATTAGGGAGATGCTGCTGCTGCTCAAGATGCCGTCGGTAACCAGCAGCGGGCTCACCTGCCCCTCCAGCCCGGCCCCCAGCACCTCAGCGCGCATGCTGGGCTTCTCCTTGCCCCCAGCTGAGGAGACGAACGGGTAGACGGTGAAGCTGCAGCTCTGCACGAAGGAGCCGTCGAGGTAGAGGGAGATGGTCCGGTTGATCTGTGAGAACACCACCAGGTGCCAGCAGCCGTCCGGGAGGAACGAGGACGCGTTGAACGCGTTGAACCCGAACCCCTCGCTCCTTGCTGCTGCTGCTGCTGCCCCTCCTCCTCCTCCTGCCGGACCTGGTGATGTGTTGCCGGTCCCCATGCAGGTCCGGACGCCGATGCAGCGGGAGCGATCGTCCTGGGCTCCGAGCTTCTGCCAGTAGAGCTCGAGGCTCGCGCTGCTTCCCGCCGCCCACCGGAGGATCAAACTCTCCTCCTCCGTGAACTTGAGCACGCGCACCCAGAACGCGACGGAGTAGCCGGAGGAAGGCTTGGGGAGCTTGCGGTCGATGAGAGGCGAGCGAACGCACCCTTGACGCCCGTCGAGGTTGAAGAAGGCAGGAGGAGCGACTCTTGCACTCACGGTCTCGATCACCTGCATGGCCTGCAGCCTCGTCCTCCTCCTCCTCTCTTCCATCGAGCTCGTTCCCTCTTCCATCCCCGCATGGGACGCGAGCTTGAAGAGCAGCTTCGCCTCCTCAGCGCTGATGCTGTAGCTGCCGATGGCGCCGGTGAGTCGGACCCAGGAGGAGGCGGCGGGGAGGTCCTCGTCCTTGAGCCGCGTGAGGATGACGATGATCGCGTTCACGTTGGCGAGCTGCTGCGCGTTGCCCGGGCGGGAGGCGACGGACCGGCAGAGGAAGTCGAGGGCGACCTCCTGCGCGCGCGGTTCGGCATGGAGGAGGACGTGGAGGAGCATCCAGGCAGCGTCCTTGCTGCGGAGAGAGAAGTCGTCCTCGCTGCTCTCGTGCGGCTCGCTGCTCTTGCTGGAGAGCTCGAGCTCGAGCCCCTCCATGCAGAGATCCGAGTTTAGCTCCACGAAAGTGTTGCGAGAGGAGGCGGACCTGAGGAACAGGTGAGTGGAGTAGGGAGAGAGGGAGGGAGAGGAGGGAGAGGAGGGAGAGGAGGGAGAGGAGGCGCAGAGGGAAGAAGAAGGATAGAGGTGGAGAAGGAGAAGGGGAGGAAGTAGGAGAGATGGAAAGGAGGAAGGAGGAGGATGTATACTTGCTGGACGAAGTAGAAGGGGTCCGGATGTGCCTGCTCTTGTGTGCTTGAGCTTGAGGAGGAGCCGAGGCGAGGAGGCGGCGAAACTCCTTGTGGAAATGTTGAGGGCTGGAAAACCTGAGTGATGGGCTGCGATAGCTGAGGAGGAGAGCATCGGAATTCTCAGTAAAGGTGTTGTCGTACGCGTCGGGGTAGACCTGAAGGAAATGAAGGAGGTAAGAGAAACGAGAGAGGGAGAGGGGGTATGCAAGATGGTGGTGGAGGTGGAGGAGGAGGAAGAGGAGCAGGAGCAGAAGTAACGTAGGATGAGAAGGAGGAGGAGGGGGGCATCTGGACTCACTATGAATGGTGACGTTGAACGTTCGCTGGCGATCTGCAGGAGGGACTCTACAGCTACTTCGTCTTTCTTGAGTGAAGATTCCACGACGATCTGACGAGAGAAGTAAGAAAGAAGGAGAAGAGCAGGAAGAAAGACGAGGAGAAGGGGAAAGGGGAGAGAAAGATTGGGAGAGGAGAGAACGCCGCATGTTAGGGGATGAAGACGAGGAGGAGAAGGTTGACTGAGGAGAGGAAAGAGAGTCACCTTGGCGAAATTTCTCAAGCCGACCTTGTTGTCGAGGAAAAGCTTGAGGGAGTCGCGGTTGAGGAGGAGGGAGGACAACACAGTGAGAGCAGAGTGAGCGAGCGAGGGACCCGCAGACTCGATGTCGAGCAGGAGGCAGGAAACGAGGCCCTCGTCCTTGAAGCGGAGAGCTACTTCCTTCCATCCGTCCTCCTGCTGCTTCAAACTCCTCCGCATTGCGCAAAGAAGCTTCTCAAATACTTCAGAAGAGAAAGAGGGAGATGGAGGGAGAGAGGGAGAGGACAAACTTGAGATGAAGAGCATAAGGGAGGAGGGAGAGAGCAGGAGAAAGATGGAGTAGGTGGAGGAGGAGACCTTGTTCCGCTTGATGACGGAATATCGCTTGTTCTCTAGGAGGTCGACAATCTTTCGGATGCCATCGTGACAATCCTTTACTATCTCGAGCATCTGAAACTCAAAAGAATGAGGAGGAAGAGGAAGAGGAAGAGGAAGAGGAAGAGGAAGAGGAAGAGGAAGAGGAAGAGGAAGAGGAAGAGGAAGAGGAAGGAGGACGAGGATGATGAGGTCAAGCCGAGGGTAAGAAACAAAGGAAAGGAAGAATATGAGAAGGAGAAGGGGAAGGAACGAGTGGAGGAGGCAGGTTCACCGTAAGGAGCAGCAGGGAGGAGAGTTTGTCTGCCTGGCTTGCCATGTACATCTGCCCCAGCATTGCAACGATATCGGCCGACATGCAACAGCGCTGGGACCCGTTGTGGAAGGACGTCTGACCCTCCGCCACCTTCGCAGACCCCGCGGCAATGTGAGCCAGCAGCTCCACCAGCGCCATCGTGCACGAGGAGTTCTCCTCCATCCCGCTGAAGCAGCACCGCAGAAACACCATGGCGACTTCCTTCTCGCCTCCCTCCCATCGCTTCGACCCTCTCCCCTCCTTGTCCTCGTGCGCGTCTGCCACCTTGCCCTCTGAGTCCTCCCGCGTCCCGCCTGCTCCAACCGTCAACGTCCTCTCCTCATTTTACTCTCCACGCAGCCTCCCCCTCTCCCCTCCCCCCAATCCCCCGCTCCGGCTCGATCCCTCTTTCTCCGTCTCCAGCCTCCCCTCCCCTCCCCGCGCTTTCTTGCTCTCCTCGTCGTCTACTCCTCACCTGTTCCCTTTTCTTTCGCTCGCATCGTCTCTCGTAGCGCCTCCTGCGCCCACGTGATCAAGTCGCCGACAACTCCCTTGAGGTTCGCGCTGCTCTGCTTGCGGCAGCGTCTGTCCATCACCAGGTCCCTCGCGGCTCCCAGAAGCTTCACGCGGCTCGCCATCGGGATGTTGGGAGAGCAGACAGCGCACCTGAGAATGTCCTCGATGATGCTCGTCTCGTACTCGCCGATTAGGACGGCACAGAAGGACAGCAGCTCCAGCACCACGTTCTGAAACTTCTCTGCGTCCTGCGACGTTTCTGTTCCCTCCTGCGGTGGAGACGCTGAGGAGCTAAGGAAGCTCTTGAGAAGATGCTTGAAGCCGTTGACCTTGTGTACACTGAAAGGGATCCAGCGTCAGAGCATGCCATCTTCGCCTCCCCCTGCTTTTCTCCCTCCTCTCGGCATTTCCATCCCTTACCAGGCAACGTTGTGAGGGTTGGCCAGCAGGATCTCACTCACTCCTTCAGCCGCGCGCATCCTCACGGGCATGTCGAGGTTCGAGCCGGAGACGAGCTGCTTCAGAGTCAGAAGGAGAGGAGGAGGAGGAGGAGGAGGAGGGAACTACCTCGAAGAGAAGCTCAAGCGCATCCAAGTTGCCTACTCTACCGTTGATGTTGCCGTCAAGGCACACGGAGATGAGCAGGTGGAACATGCTCTGAGTGAAAATGAAGAAGAAGAGAAAGAAGAAGAAAAAGAAGAAGAAAAAGAAGAAGAAAAAGATGATGATGATGAGAAAGAGGGGGAGGGGGAGGAAGAAAATGAGGAGGGTCAGTCTCGACCTCACACAGGGATGAAACATGTTCACCTCCAGGAAGCGCTTTCCAGACGGCAACGAGTAGTCGTCCACCGACGAGAAGATTCCGTGTAGGATGGAGTATCCTTGAATCGCCCGGAACTCCCTCTGGTTGTGAGCGTTTTGCATCAGGAGCTTCGAAACGGCTTCGAACAGCTCGATTTTGGACACGCTCACTGTGTCCCGCATCTTGTCCACCAGTGTCTTCAGAGCTCCCTGCCGCAACATCACCAGGCGAAGGAAGTCCGGCATCTCTTACCTGGATGCACAGCAGCTCTTTTATCATCTCATCCTGTCGGGGTCCTGCATCGCTGCACTTGCCCCTGGACTTGGCCAAGGTCTCGACACCATCGCTATGTGTGAGATACTGAGCTGATGTCAGGGCTGATCATAGTCGGCAGCACCTCCAACCTCATTCATGCTCGAGTCATCATCTAAGGCTGAGCACATGAGCTCGATCTCTTCAAAGCAGCCCGCCACCACTTTGCGGGGGATGGGGAACTGAAAGTCATTGTTGACCTCAGCTTGTGCTTCGTCCTGCGACGGTGAACTCTGAACCACTTGGCTGATCAAGACCTTTGCTCCTTCCCAGAGAACTGGAGGCCTCAGCGACAGGTTCAGCCCGAGCTTCTTGGACCTGAGACGAGATCAGACGCAGTCAGAGAGCTACGTGCAAGGTAAGTTAAGAGAACTACCTCTGGTTTGCTGCCTGCACTGCAGAAACTAGCTGCGCCGGGACTTCGCCATGCGCCTGATCGTTCTGAACATCCACTGAGAAGAAGCTCGTCACGTCATGTTTCGGACTGACAACTGCAAGTCGTACAGAAATGCTTCAGCGTCTTCAGCGCTTCTTTCTCAAGCTCTCCCTCCCCATCAAGCATGAGCTGAACCACCTGATGCATCAACGGCACTTACAACCTGGAAGCGACAAGGTAGAAGAGGCAACCTTTTTAAATCCATCCAGCCGCCCTATGTTGAGCTTGCTCTTGACATCAGACCCTATTCTTGTGAGGATCTTCAGTGCAAGCTGCTTTTTCTCTGACCCTTGAACCGAGTCAAGCAGAGATAGGATTTGGCTGAGAACCTTCACAAACGGTGGTTAAGGCAGTTCGACTACATTGTTGTCAGATGGTACCGGCAGCGATTCAGCAACGAGGTTTCGATATTTCTCATCGTGAATGATCATCTCAGCGCATTCAAGCGCTTTGTGAACCACTTCTGTGACCATCGCTTCACCACCGTCCGCTTGATCCTTGACTGTCCCTTGCCTATACTGAAGTCAGAGTCCAAAAGGAGGTTTCGATCCGAAATCACCTGTCTACTAGATCAAGGAGCGCGATTAAGATGTCAGAGCAATCTCCAAAGAAGTTGTCGAGATCAGGCCCATGCTCTTTGTTCTGCAGCTCCTTGTAGGCTAGTTGAAAACTGTCGAGGAAATCCGACAACTTTGCACATTTCAAGGAGACGCTGACATCTCCCATGACTGCTTGATACTCTTCCCACAACTTCTTGCATCGTCGATATGTGTTATGCTGTCGCCAGAGCTCGCGTACTTTCCGCATGTCTTCTCAAAGTGAGATTTCGTTCAAACTAGATCAGGACCACCCTGAGTTTCTTCAACGTTTACAAGATCAGCAACCAGGTAGACAGTCCTCCCTTCAAGCATCTTCAAGTTGGTAACATCGTGACCTCCTTGATCATCTGTCATCCTCCTCCCTCCTCCTCCCTCCTCCTCCTTCCTCCTGGCCCGTCGTCATGGCGCCATTTTGGCACTGCATGGCAAGCTTGACTTCTTTTTATGGCTGCTATTACCCCACCCACCCCTTGAGCACGTTTGACTATCTAAATTACTTCCAGTACCCCCTATTATCACATTCTAATGACCCCTACATGGTACTACCCCATCACCTACACTATCACTGAGCTCCTACAGCACAACCCCCCATTATTACCTCCTGCTTTACCCCATCCTCACCACCCGTACCCCCTCATTTCCCCATTTTCCCCCTACCCCTGGTCTTCCAAAAGCCTTACATGTTCTGTGACCCCACCCCCCCTCACCGAGTCTGTTGCCCTCTTCCCCACTATGTCCCGATTTCCACTGCACCCTCCCAGGTTATGAGCCGCAAATGAGCTGTATGAGGGTTCAGGGTTTTGATGCCCCCCCCTACCCACCCCCTCCTATGGCCCTCGCAGGGGTCAATTGAGTTCCGAAATAGATAATATTATGAGGGCTCACTGCCTCGGAGGACCCCTACCCCCCACCACCCTTCGCAGTACCCCCAAATACACTCGGATGCACCCCTATTACAACCAGGACCCTCACCCCCCCTTAGACCTATGTAACTGCCCCTACAATGGTTCCGAATGTGTACGACCACCCGCGATCCCATTCTCCACCCTACCCCCCCAAGAATTGATTCACTCTTACCACCCCACCACTCACATAACTAGATCATACCCCTCATTTTGTGGTCCATATCTTCAATAACTCTACCCCCCACCCCCTCTTTTTACCCCACCCTCTGCCTCAGAACATTGTTGGTGGACTTGACCCCATGCAGACGCCAGCGCGGGGTCCCCGAGAAGAAGGGACGAGCATGGCGCGAAGCCCGAACTCCTCCTCCTCTACCACGTTCTCTCCCTCCGCTTCATCCATCTCCTCCTCACATCTCGGTTCCTCTCGTAAAGTCCCATCTGCCCTCTCCCTGTCTCCTTGCAGCAACAAACCATTGGGTCCGTCTCCCCGGCAGGACAACAAGGTGGTTCTGACCTGTATCGACGTCGCAGATGCAGTAGCCTCTAGCAGAGGAAGGAAGCTAGAGGAAGTTTTCCACCCCTCTCCGAACAGAAGAGAGCAGATCGTGCCCAAAGACGACGCGCAGCGGATACAAGCAAACATGGATGGCGTTCCAGACGACGTCAACATCCTGCGGCTGCAGCTAGAGCTGCAGATGAAGCGGCTATCATCGATAGAGGAGGAGATGAAGCAGCGGTACGAGAGGCTGCGCGATGAGGCCGTGCAGCATGGTATGAAGATGCTTGACGAGGAGAAAGCAAGAAGCAACGAGATGCATGCCTTGCTGCAAGTTAAGATCGAGTCCCTCGAGGAGGAGCTGCAGAGGACGCGAAGAAAGCTGGGGAAGAAGGTCAGACATTTTTGTTTCACCCGCGCCTCATGTCTGACGATCCTGCAGTGTTCGGAATATGAGGAGCTGTTGGCCATGGCGAATGAGTTGGCAGTGGAGCAGGAGGGAGTTCCGGTTGAGCACGGGAAGAAGACAAGGATTCACGACCAATGCGTGCAGACAAGCGACTTGTCAGACCACACGACCATCTCAGCGGATAGCCTCAGTGTGGACGATGACCATTTCCCCCACCACGTCACGGTACATGCCTCCCGGCATTGCTGCAAGTTTCTCATCGCATGCCTCTAGGATGAAGTGCAGACAAGGGACGGGTCAGTAGCGTCAAACGACGAGCTCTCCAAGGAGAAGTCTCAAGAGCCGATTACCAAGGATCGAGTCTGTTGGTACCTGGTGACTCCGACTGCTTGCATTTGCCGACAAGTTTTGACTTCGTTCACAGGACGCGTCCCATCGCAACGTAGCCGAGATGCTGACCCCTCGAGGCTCCCGCTTTTGCTCGGTACTCGACGGGTCGGATTCCAGCAAAGAAACGCTGTGGAAGTCGTTGTCGAGTGCTTTCAAGTGGAATTGATGAGAAGTGTCGGAGGCAAGTGTAGTCAATTAAAGGTTATCTCCAGTCGTACGCGCATATGACTTGAGCCAACATCTTCCGTATTGAGGAGGGGGGGGGGGGTCAGGGAGTGATGAGAGGGGGTCAGGGAGGAGAGGGAGGAGAGGAAGGAGAGAGAGGGAGTGAGTGAGTTGACGAGAAACCAAATTTACAGCTTGAATTGAGTTTCTCTGCCACTATCAACTATTGACGGCAGAAGCTAGTAGTTGCGACGTCGGCTTCCTAGTCGGGAGAGGTCGAAACGGCGCCTGCAGAATCTCCTAGTCAGACAAGTGATGAGAGGAGGAAGAGAAGTTCGAAGCAGCTATCAAGGAGAGGCTGGAGGGATAAGGCAGTGACGGGGGCATCGGTCCACCTGAGTCGTACTGCCTCCATGTTGTTGTTGTCCATTTCCATGACTTAAAATCGAGCCAACCAATCCGCTGGATCTGCTTCCGTTGCTTCCGTTGGCGGCAGCAGCCGGTGGCTCTTGTGATGCACCGTTGGCATACCTGCAGCGAGCATGTAAGAGGGAGCAGTCGGTCTCAGGATGATCCTACGGGAAGGGAACCATCTTGAAGGGGCTTGCTTCCTGTGGCTTTTCAGAGCCTTGCAATGATGTATGGTGACCTGGAGCTAGTCCCTTCAGCTCCTGCAGGCATCATAACAAGGTTCAACACCTGCTGATGACGTCTCTTGAGGCCTGTTGATGTTCAACATCGCGAGTAATTGCGAACCTGTCCCTGACGTCAGCTAACGGGTGTCACCTTTCTCCTCCCCATGCACCCGCATCGTCTCTCTGGGGCAGTTGGTACACTCCATGCGCAGGGGCCTGACCGTGAGACAGCAGTTTCCTCTCCAGTTCTTCGACCGAAGTCACTCCAGCCGTCTCGTTCCCCCCCCTAGGAGCCCCTGGCGTTGCAAGAATGGAGTCTCCGGCAAACCTAAAAGGCTCCATGGGCTTGTCGGAGAGGATCCCCGCCGAGCTCTTGTGCATCAGTCGCTCGCCTGCATCTGCCTGCATGTGCACAGGAGCATCCAGCTTGAGGGGTGGAGGAACCTGCGTTTGATCGTTCCTGGCCCCAGGAGGAGTGCTGAGGATGGAAGGGTAGGGCCGCACGTCCCTCACGGGGATCTCGTAGACCCCCTCATGCTCATACCCATCGAAGAGGATCGCGCAGTAGTCCATCCCGTACTGGTGTACCGTCCCGTCGTACCACTGGCCGTCCAGGAACAGAGCGTTGACGCGCGTTCCGGGGACGATGGCGCTGCTGGCACCGGAGCTGTGGTGGGATGGAGCTTCTTGGAAGGAGCTGGTGATGATGGCTGGGTCGGAGAAGACTGGGTTCATGCCTGGCCTCGCTGCGATCTTGGGCAACGGGAGGCTGCTCGGAGGCGGTGAGTTGAGGAAGGCACCTCCGGCAAACTTCCCGTTGTGTGAGGTTTGAGAATTCTTGTTGGATGCAGGCGGAGCGTTCGCCTTGTGCTGCACAGCAAACGGACGGACAGCCGTTGCCTTGTTGGCAGCAGCTGCCACCTGGTTATTTACAAGCGCGACGTTGGTGGTCGCCTTCGCCCCCTTCTTCTTCCCTTTCCCCTGGTTCGGCACCAATCGCAAATCCTGATTGACGACCGGAGTCCCGTCCTGCAGGAAGGAGCGCAGTGTCAGAAGTTCATGTACAGGATGACTTCATCTTCTACAGGGAGGTCGGGACGAGGAGGAAGAGCAGGCGGGGAGGGGCGCGTGCAATACAGACAGGAGGGAACAGTCAGCGGCAGGAAGGGGCGGGAGATAGGAGGAGAAAGGAGGAGGAGGAGGAGGAGGAGGAGGAGGAGCTGAGCGGTTACCTCTCCTTGGATGAAGTAAGGAACCAGCGGCCTCTCATTGTTTCTCCCCAGCCTGTCTCCTCCTCGATCCCCATCGAACCCGCCGCCTCCCGCAGTCGCCATGCTCCCCGAACGTCTGATGACCCCACCCCTTGTTTAACCCCCAAACATTCGAGCAATCACCCCTCCACGAGAATGACTACCCCTACTTTCTACCGGTACGACAAGTATATCTAGCGGGGATTTGGACTCGTTTATGACCCACCCTGACAAGTTCATCAGCAGGTGGACCCCCACCCCCTGGAGATCATATTCAATGTGCCTCCCAGAAAATGGCAGGCGGAGTTGAAGCCGCTGCTTCCTCCTCCTGCTCAGGGACAGTCGTGGATACCCGCCGGCGAGCGCGAGGAGGAAGCGCTCAAGGTGGAGTGAGCCAGCTCACGAGGAAGCTTCACAACGATCTTCTTGACAGCTTTCATGGTGGCATGTGCGGATCTAACCTTGCTCTTGGACTTTGCATCGCAACGATTTTATCTTCTTGTGATCACAAGCATGCTCGCAGCGGTCAAGTCTCCTTGCAACTCCTCTCAACCTGGTTTGCTCTCCTCTATCCTCTCGCTGACCTTCTTCGTACTCTCTGACCCTACAGCTCTCCACTCTCGCACGTTCACCAGGCAGGACAAGAGGAGGAGCTCTTCCCTCCCTCGTCGCAACATGAGCGAGGGTGGGAGGAGGAGGCGAGGGCCTCAAGTGGGCCCTCACCTCCTCCTCACTTGAGGACGGGCAGTACTCCGGGGATCTTCCTCACGTCCACCACTGACATCCCTGCGCTCAGCGCTGCCTCCACTCCAGCATCCGCGTCCTCGTACACCCTGGCGCCTCCCGTCAGCCCTCACCGCCCCCACCTCCTCCCTTCAACCTACCGGCACTTGTCGGGGGGGATCCCCAGGCTCCTGGCAGCTGTCAGGAACGGGTCAGGATGCGGCTTGTGCCTCTCAACGTCCTCCGCGCAGATGAGGACGGCGAAGAGAGTCTCGAGCTTGCACTGGCTCAGGAACTTGGCGACCATCTTCCGAGGCCCTGCGGCGCCAGGGTCAGGCACGGGGAGAGGGGAGGAGGAGAGGGCGGGGGGAGAGGGGAGGAGGAGAGGGGTGCGGGAGAGGGCAGGGGGAGAGGGCAGGGGGAGTGGGCGGGGGGAGGAGGAGGGACAGTAAGGTCACCGCTACTGACGACCGCCATTGGGATTCTGCCATGGTTTGCTCGGGCAATGTCACAGACGGGTTTGATCTCCCTGACTAGCGGGATCATCTCAGAAGCAAGGTCGTCCTTCTTCCTGTAGAACGCGTCCGGGTCGACATCCACCGCCTGCTCCTTGCAGAGAATCTTGAAGGTCTCCTCAACTGTCTTGCCCGCGTGCGAGTAGAACTCTTCTTCTGTCAGCTTCATCCCAAAGTGCTCGCACGTCTTGATCCAGTTCTGCATGCGACGTCAGCCGCAGAGATGCAGGAGTGGAGAAGAAGCCGCTCTTACCTCACACCACATGGGCATGGAGTCGACCAGAGTGCCATCGCAGTCGAAGATGAGGGCTTCCACGCCGCTCAAGTCCTCTATGTTGTCTATCTTCATCGCGGGAAGGCCCTTCCTTGCTACGGTCGTGGACAGCGGCGAACGTCGGCGTACGACAGCAGCGGATGGGAAGGATGGGAATGAAGGCTGGAAGGCAAGGAACGAAGCTTGGTACAAAGAGGAGGGGGAGGGGAGGAGGGAGGAGGAGGGAGGGAGGAGGAGGGAGCAAACTACGAGGATCAGGTGCAGCGGCTTCTTCATCCCGCCATAGCAGGCGATGCCGTCGGGATGGGGAATAGGGTGGGTACTCTTGATACCAGGGGTAGTGTATTCTGTATTGAGTTTTCAGGTACCACATACGAGGGGTGGTGGTTAGAGGTGGGTGCAAAGAATGGGGGTCGGGGTGGGGTGGGGTGGTTGGTGTGGTAGATTTTGAAGCGATGGTGGGACCCAACGAGGAGGCAGGGAAGATGCTCAAGGAGGCGGCGAAGAAGGCGAGAAGCGAAGGCATGGCGAAGGCTCTCCTCAAGGCCGCCAGAAATGTGAGCGCATGTCCCCTCCCCATCAGGAGCAAGCACGAGGCCATGGCGATCAAAGGGGTGGGTGAGAAGATCGCTGGTATGATTATGAGGATGATCGAGGGGAGGGGAGCAGGTCAGGCAGACGAGGTGGATCATGATGCAGCTCAGCCTCGAGATGTTGCTGGAGCTCTGACAGGCGAGAGCGCCTCCATGCTTGAGACCGACCGACATCGCGAGGGGGAGCAAGGAAAGAAAAAGCGGAGGCGGGAAAACAAAAATGCGAGCAACGAGGCGGAGGACGAGACGTCAGAACCTGCTCATCGACCAGACCGACAGTACCAGCCGAAGACAAGGAGCGGAGCATACGCTCTCCTGATAGGTCTGTATAGGATGGAGAAGGTGCTCTCAGTGAAGCTCCTTTGCGGAGGGAGGGGCTGAACTGCGAGCAGGGGATAGGAACGGGAGTGTGCGTACGACCTGATCGAGAGACTCTCGCGAAGTTCTCGCAGCAGGTAAGAGGATGGAAGACGTTGTGATCATGTGCTGAAGCTGCTGCAGTGGGCAGATGAGAGGATTCTGTGCGATAGAGCGCATTATTGTGGATGGGACTCCATGAACAGGACCCTGGTGTGCTGTCGGTTGTCGTGGCGGAGGTTGTTGATGCTGCTCAGGTTCCCAAGGGTCTTGTCCAGGCATACAGGAATGGTCCCCGCAAAGTCTTTGAGCTGTCTCAAGAGGGGAGGGCGCTGGCGGAGGCGTTGAACGTCAGAGTATTGGAGTCAGAAACAGGAGAAGCAGGGGGAGGATCAGGAAGCGAGGTGAAGGGAATTCTACTCGTTGCTTCTCTGACTGTCTCGGGCAGTCTGTAGCGACAACAAGCTCGATCGGGGACAGGAGGCCAGGAGATCGCAACGTCGGGAGGTGATGACATGTCAGGTCGAGGTAGCGGAATGATCCTGTTGATGACAGTCACGAGCCTTCTGACTTGCGGGCCTGTGAGCTCGTCGGAGAGTCAGCGGTGAGATAGTAAGTCCAGCTACAGCCGAGCTGATCTCCTCGCGTCAGGCTGGCTCGCGTCGCCTGCCCGATGGGTCGAAGCTGGAGGTTCTGCTGCTGGTGGACAACAACGAGCCCCCTGAGGTTCTTCACTTCGTGGAGGCGAAGCACATCAGGTCAAGTCGCCTCCTCCTGCTCCCAGTGCGTGATCTGATCCGATAGGTACAAGAGGACGCAGCTCATGATCGGAGACTTCATGTGGGTTGCCGTCCCGCAGGTTGGACGCTGGAAGAGGAGGAGGCGGTGGTGGTGGCGGCTGCTGAAGAGGAGGTGGTGGCTGAAGAGAAGGAGGCTGAGAAGGGTCTACAGGGTCAAGAAGTCGCATCTGTGAAGCTTGAGGATGCTGTGAGCTTCTGGTCGTCCACATCCTCCCCTGGCGACTCACTCGCTCCCCCAGATTGTCCTGGACTTCATCATCGAGCGCAAGAGCGTCAGCGACCTGCACAGCAGCGTCATCTCCAAGCGATACGAGTCGCAGAAGTACAGGCTGCAGCGATCGGGTGAGGAGGGAGGAGGAGGGAAGAGGGACGAGTGAAGGCTTGTGCTCCACAGGCTTCAGCAGGATCGTCTACCTGCTTGAAAACTCAGTGGACGGAATGAGGCAGTCCGGGTACCACGGTTAAGAGAAGCGAGCGGACAAGGTGCTGTGCTGAACGAGTTAGCAGATGTGACGGAGGAGGTGGAGAAGCGAATACGAAGCTCGACTGTTGACATTCAGATTCACAGTCAGTTCTTCCTGCACCAGACTGGCAACTGGAAGGTCAGAGATCGACCTAATCTCCATATCACTCCCTTCTCCCTCCTCTCCCTCCTCCTCTCCCTCCTCCTCTACTGTCGCTTCCGCCATTTGCCCACGTTGCTCTTCTCCGATGACTCACGTTCCTTCCAGGAGACTGTCGATCTGCTGCACCTTATGACGCAAAAGATATCTTTGATGCTGAGAAACCAAGGCCTCTCCTCTGACGTTGCCATGCTCATTGAGCATGACCTCGTCACCTTCAAGGCTTTCTCGGTACCTCAACACTCATCCTCTTCCCCCCGTGTCATCCCCACCCTCTGCTCCTCCTCCTCCTCTCTTCCGGAACCTCTTCTCTTCTCCCTTCCCTGCTTCTGCTCCTCCCCCTTGTTGTTCTCAATCTGTAAACTCTGTCTGCTGTTACGGCTCCTCCTAAAAGTTCGACTGGCAGGACCGCATGAAGAACTTGTCCTCTCGCACTTTCTCGGAACTTCTGCAGATCCAGGTGAGGAAGGAGGAGACTAGGAGTAGGAGAACTGCGGTGGGGAAGGGACATGTGTAGAACTACTCGAGCAGTGGGTGTGAGGAGCAGAGAAGACCAAGGGAGGGGAGCAGCAGCAGCAGCAGCAGCAGGTCACAACGTCGGTGGTGGTGAGACCGTGGCAGCTGGCTAGCGCTGTTCAAGGCCTCGGCTCCAAGGCGGTCGACACCCTCGTCGAGGAGTTCGCGACGCTCCCGGCGCTTCTTGACTTCTGCCGCCGCTGCCAGTCGCTGGAAAACTTCAAGAAGATCGTCACGTGGGTGCTGGCCGCCTCCCTCCAGCTGCTGACGAGCTGAGCAGGCAGAAGTTCCGTGAGAAGAACAATAGGGCGCTGAACCCGAAAGTGATCGAGAGGTTGTGGATGCTTTGCGAAGGGAGGGAGGGCGGACAAGAATAGAGATAGAGAGAAGGGGGAGAGGAGGAGGAAGACGAGGTTCAAACAAGATGCGGTGGAGCAAGCGGAGTCTGCGAGATAAAACCGAGGGAGAGAGCAGGGACGAGAGGCGCAAGGTTGACTTGAGTGATTCATTTAAGCTTGTTGAGAACCATGTCAGGTGGCAGTCCGAGATTGCTTCACTCCCTGTCAGCCTCTGCCTTGTGCTGCTTACCTGCACAAGTTAATCTCCTCCTCCTCATCTCCATGACGATCCTCATGCTCTCGCCCTCCCTTCCTGAGAGATGGAGGGGTGAGCAGAGAGCGAGACGACGAGAACCCTACTCAGGCATTCTTCTGCTGCTTCGTCACAATCTCAGCATTCGCATCCCCCATGTCTGGTGTGACTGACACCACAATGTCCTCCTGGTCGTTCTGGTCGTCCTGGGGCCCATCGCCTCCTCCAGTCGTGTGCTCTTGCGACTCTCGGTCTTCTACCGCCGCATGCACGTTGCTGTAAAGCGTTGCGATCTTCTCCTCTTTCTCCCCGTGGAGCTCTTTGAGGAGCTCGTAGAACTCGTTGAACGTGAGCGCCTCTGAACCTCCATCCTCTAGCGTCCGCTCGTCCACCTTGGAGGAGGAGAACTTCTCCAGCTCGTGCGCGATCTCTATCGCCTGCTTGCGCGTGATGCGACCCGAGCCGTCCGCAGCCCTCGAGAAGTGTTGCTGCAGCTGATCCTTGGTCTTGCCGGCCACCAGGATCGAGTGGATCCCAGGGCCCATGTAGGAGGCGAGGGCGATCTCCCGCGCCAGCCTCCTCCTCACGGCCTTCTTCGCTCCTGCCAGCGCCACGCTGGTGGACGGCGAGATGCCCTTTACCTTGACGACGATGTCCTTCATGGTGCGCATGGAGGAGGAGTCGAGCCGGTTCACTCCCGACAGGTCGAGCACGAGACGCCGCAGCTCCCCCCTCGGCTTGTCCGTCTCAGACACCATGTGGAGCGCGAGCTTGACCTCGTGCAGCACGGCGTCGCGGAACCCGTTGCAGTTGGCGAACCACAAGTCCATGTCCTGCCAGCGAGTCAGAGCGAGCGACAAGCACTTACGTCACTCACAAAGCGGATAATGAGGATGCCGGGGACTGGAACGGCAGACTCCATGACCTTCATGTCATGGTAGTTGTGCGTGCCGGGCACTTGACCCAGTACGGAATAAGTGGGGCTCGAAGTCTGAAAAAGGAGCGCGATGATGGAGCAGGCGAAACCGACGGCAAGGCCGAGCTCAGCACCGAGCAGAAGGGTGGCCATGAAGGTGACGCTGAAGGCAATGAGCTCCTCCCAGGCCTCCAGCTGGTACAGGTGCCACGGCTCGTGGGTGTCGAGGAGTCCAGACACGGCGATGATGACGATGGCACCCAGCACGGGCTTGGGGAGGTAGTAGAAGAGAGGAGTCAGAGCTCCCAGCACGATCAGCATCAGCAGCCCTGAAATGATGCCAGCCAGCTGCGTCCTCGAACCTGCATTGGCGTTCACAGCTGAGCGACCGAACCCTCCGGCTGCTGGGTAGCAGCGGAAGAAGCTGCCGACGATGTTTGAGACGCCGAAGGCGACGAGCTCTTGGTCGGGGTTGATGGCGTAGCCGTTCTTGTTTGCATACGTTAGGCCGACAGCGATGGACTCCATGTACCCCAGCATAGAGCTGATCAGCACAAATGAGAAGAGCGCTCCCATCCCTGTCGACGGCAACTCAGGTGCCTGCGGGACAGGAACACCAGCCGGGATAGTTCCGCAGATCTTGAAACCTGACTTGTCCAGACGGGCTCCCCACGAGATCTGCTCAAACAGAAGCGTCACGAGGCAACAAGGCGAGGACAATGGCCACCAGAATTCCGATGACGACGATGAGCATCGCCGAGGGAACTTTCCTCAGCCTGGGAACTTTCTTGAACACCATCAAGAACGCCATGACTCCGATGCCCATCAGAACGGACGGCCAGTGAGCCTCACCCAACCGAGCCAGCATGTCTACAATCACAACAAATGTGTTGTTCGATTCGCTCAGGGAGTATCCCAGCACATGCTTCATCTGGCCCAGCCCTGCAGCAGAGTTACAGGAGCAGCGGGTAGCCACAGGAATAGTCACCGATGATGATGGCAGCTGCTGAGGTGAAACCGGCGACGACTGGATGCGAGAGGAAAGAGGTCAAGAAGCCAAGCTTAAACAATCCCAGCGCGAGCTGAAACAAGCCGGAGAGGAAGGAGGATGCAATAGCTAGCTTGATGAAGGCGGGGTTTGCACTTCCATCCTCTAGCTTTGCTGGAGCGATGGAGTTCAGACCATGCGAGACCAGCAGCGAGACGATGGCGACAGGGCCGACGGCGAGCTACAGCACAGCACGAGTGAGCCAAGAGCAAGAAGATGAGGGAGGAGGGACCTGTCTGGACGTTCCTAGAAGACCGTAGACGATGAGAGGGAAAGAGCCCGTGTAGAGGCCGTAGATAGGAGGAAGGTTGGCAACGAGTGCATACGACATGCCTTGAGGAACGAGAAAGAACCCTACCGTGAGACCCGCGAATATGTCCCCCATTAGGTCCTCCCGCCATCCTCCGTTGATGTATTTGGGGATCCATACAGTAGAGGGGACGAGGCTGCTGAGCTGGTACTGACTCTTCAAGAAGCTCAGAGCTCTGTGCTTGAACGGCGGTGGTTTGTACTCGTCAAGATACTCAGTGCGCAATAGATCGACATTCTGGTCCTCCCGCTTGTCCTCGCGGTCCATGCCGAAGAAGAAGGGTTTGACCGCAAGTGGATGAGGAGCAAGTGACGAGTAGAACAAAGAAGGAGATGAAGGTGTAGCTTGATCTGGACTCACAAGGACGAGGAAGCTAGAAGGGGAGGAGAGGAAGGAGGAGAGGGAGAGGGGGAGAGAGGGAGGAAACAGAATCCTCAAAACAAACTATACAGTCGGTGGGGGGGGGGGGGGGGACGATTGACGGGGGTGGTATCGAAATGATGGGTGGGGGTGAGATAATGTAGGGTGATGAGTGGTCTTTATTGGTACATATAAATGATAAAAAGGGGGTAGGGTAAAGCTTTTGTTGTGGTTTGTGTTCACAGAGTGATTTTGTTTTATGGAAGGGTAGGGTACTCGACGACAATTTTTTTTTCGGATAGAGATTTCAATTTTTTGTAAAACTTTTCAAATTTAAAGATTATAATTTCAATAAAGCAGCAGATTTGAGAGTTTAGCCGCTAGGTGCACAGCACGACGGTCCTGACATGATAGATAGGGGTAGTAAGATATGAAAGTAGGGGGTAGGGGTATCTCCAGTAGTAAAGTCGCAGAGGACAAGTCCCGCCGTTACTCTGTGACTGGATCATGACCGGGTCCTTTGAGTCAATTTATAGGGGTGGTGGTGACATGGTGGGGGGATGGCGGGTCCTGACGGGACGTGACTGGTCATGTACTATAAATCTCAGTGACAGGACCACTTCCCAACCCCCGGGTGCTCTGACTCCGACGGGCCCAGGTGGCTGAAGAGGCAGGGGAGCGAAGAGGCGAATGCTGTCGCAGCTCAAGGAGAAGGCGCAGGGAGGAGCCGCCGCAGCCAAGAGCGCGCATGGCAAGAAGTTCTTCGGGAAGAACGGTAGGACATGTACAAGCTGATGTCCCTTGCTTCTCGCTTGCTGTGGGCTCTTGCTCGGGTAGGATCCTACTCCCTACTACACGTGCCCGAGTGGGGAGTAGGAACCTACTCCCTCCTCGCTTAGCACCGCGCTTCCGTTCCTTGGTTCCTCCCATGTGTGAGCTAGAATCCGACTGCACGTAGAAGAAGATGTCGCCTTGATGTGCTGCGAAAGATTATGATAACAGTAACAGCCTGCATCGCCTTTGTTTCTTGTCATGCTCCATGGGTAGTGATAGCTTGCAACTGTTCCGATTGCCGTGTTTGAATGCCTTTGTGATGGTTTGCTGATATTTTCTTATCAGAAGGAGTTTGGACGCTTTGGAACCACTTTTTTTGAGCGTTTGGTGTTGAAAGCAAAGTGATCTCTGGGGGACATGTTGTCTCGGCTCCTGCTGTCTGTGTTGTCCGTCGATCCATCAGTTCCTCTCTTCGGAGAGAAGCCGTATCCCTATGGTGAGGGCGAGGTGGAAAGAGTGAAGTACCCTTGCACGTCTTTCGGCAAGGGAGGAAGTGATCAAGGATGTCCTGACTGCATGAATGAGCCGCCGACCGGAACTTGGTACTTCTACATGGATCCGACCTGGGATTTTTCGGCGGACGAACCGAAGAAGCGTTGAAGATTGATTGTGACAGAAATAAAATTTTGAACTGCTAAATGTGGTTCGAGACATTTACAAATGATATCCGATCTAGGGTTTCAGGCTGCACAGACGCAATTGCCGTTGTTGCAGGTGGAGCATTCGCTGCCAAGAGTCGTGCAGTTGAACACGCAACGACCTGACTTGCAAGTGTAGGAGGAGTAGCTTGGAGGCCGATTGCTAGAATCTCCGCAATGTTCCCCGACTTGTCGAGGTGTCGCGCATCGACAGTTGTTGCCAGCACAGTTAGGGCAGAAGTTGGGATCCGAACACATGAAGCCACAGATTTCTCCTCTGGCGCACTCCGCAGAGAAGTGGAAGGGGTTGCTGTGCTTCGACGCGTCTGAGAAGCTTGCCCCACAAGTCCTGGCTCGGCGGCTGTCGGCTCGACCCTCAGTCAACATCTCATCGCGCAGTGCGACAGCAACGGCGGGAGGAGGAAGTTCGCAATGGTCCCATCGAGCTCTATCCCCAGATGTCTGGATGTATCCTGCTTGCCCACATTCTCCTCTGGTCTTGCACCACGAGGTTCCCTTGCTGCCTGGAACCGCCACACACTGTCGATGTACTCGTCCCTTGTACAGGAAAGGGAAGTCGCACTCGCAGCCCTTGACTGTCCGAACCATCGGGTCCTCGCAGTAATCCCACGAGCCCTCTGCCTCCGTGTGTCCGCATCCATCATGCGTGTAGCACCAGGCGCGATCGCGTCCTCTCCTTGTGCAAGAGTGGAAGACCTCCCCCTCGTATTCAAATGAGCCCTTGCAGGAGCACCCGCCAACCGTGCCGGTGCCCCCGCGCCTTCTCCTCTTCTCATTGCTGACGCTGCTCTTCTCTGGCGAGTTGAGACTGTGAAGCTTGGAGGGATGGGAGCGCAGGCTCGTCTCTTTCGGCTGCAGAACCTCTTCAACCGCGTTCATCGCTGCCTTGGTGATGTCTCGGCTCACTATCGTTTCAGGAGCTTCGTAACTTCTGGGTAGCGACGGATTCTCCTGCTCTTCAGCTGGTTCCAACAGGTTCAGCATCGCGTGTTGGATTGAGTTTGAGACAATTTGCTGCACAGCCGACGGGTTATAGCTCGCTACACGCGACTGTTCGACCCCGGACCAGGAGCCGTCGCGTGGGTGATAATGAGCTATCCTCTTGATGCGCAAGTTGCCCTGTAGGCGCTTTCAGAACAGAAGGCAAGAGGGCAAGAGGAGGAGCTACCTGCACATACTCTCCGTTGACTACTCCATGTACACTGGCGAGGCCTGAATCATGACTACCGGGGGGAAAGTAAACCTTGTCGATGACTATGTTCTTCATCAAGGGGTTCCCTGGGCCCAGATGAACGCGGACATGACGGGACGTCTGTAACAGAGAGGAGATGCTCGAACGCTGGCTTAGAGATAGCAACACGACAGCACAGGCAGAGAGGAAAGCCAGCCCACAAGCAACATGCTTCATCTGCATCCTCCCTCCTGGTGTGACTAGCAGGGTCTCAGAATCGAGAGCAGCCGGTCAATCTCCGAGCATGGTGTGATCTCCTACCTCTCGTTCATGCCTCGTCCTCTCCCTCGATCGCCCAACCCGCTCTGCTTCCTCCTACTCCTGTCGCGTCTCCTCACTCCCCTTCCAACAACACCACCCCAACCATTGAAGTACCCTACCCATCCTTTGTATGTAATAATGTCAAAATATAACCCCCACACAAATACCCCTACCCCCTGGGGACGAAATTCCTTGGAAACGAGGAGACATGGCAAGGGCGAGATGGTTGGTGGTGGCGGCGATGGCGGCGATGGCGATCCTCGGGCACAGCACGAGAGCTGCTGAATGTTACGACAAGCCGGGATGGCACAGCCCGCAGAACGACTTGGTGACATGCTCGTGGTTTGCGGCGCCTCCAAAGAACGACGAGTACAACAAGTGCTCCACCTTCAACCGAGCCTTCGACGTGTACGATGGGCACACGGCGAGCTCAGCATGCTGTACATGTGGTGGAGGTTGTAGACCGGCAATCCTGACAGGAAATGATCCATCGTGTAACGTCTCGTGGGTGTACACTGGCACCGTGTAGCGATACCGCAGATGTCACCTGTGCACAATGTAGACAGCGCCAGTACACGACTGGTTGATTGGCGTTACTAGGATACTATGCTGTTTCCTTCCCTCCTTGGGAGATCAACCTTCACCCCCCCTCTCTTAACGTTTCTGCAAACGAATGCTGTGTCAATAACTGTACAATAAACTCTTTCTTTACCAAGACAACGGAAATGCGATTTACATCCTCGTGCTCTAACTCGGCAAGGCATCGACGTTTGCTCGACTTCACGTCCTTGTCTCTGATTGCTCGCACGGCTTCTAAGTTCGGATGGATGGAACGAGTGACGATGAGACCTCTAGCACGATGCCTGTTGAAATAAACGTTGGCGGTGGGAAGGGAAGGGTTGGGATGGGGATTGGAATTGGAATGGAATGGGGAAGGGGGAAAGAGGAACAAGAAAGAGATCGTCAGAGCAAGAATGAAAGAATGAAGGTCTTGCAGGTGTGTATGAAGACAGCATCTACTCGATACTTGTTTTCTCCTCTCGGCGTTGCGAGAGCCACTCGCATTGCCCTCTAGAATGACAAGCATCATCGAGCGTGTGCCAGACGAAGAAAAGGAGGAGAAGGAGGCTGTCATGGGATGATCTTTCTTTTCTGCTTACTGAGGTGCCGAATGGCGTCGATGTCCTGCCCTTTGCTCTCTGTCAACTCTACGGTGCTACATGCGAGATCACCTCCTCATGGTTTTCAACGCGTTCTTTATTATCTTCTGCTCTCTGTCAACTCTACATCACCTCTCTGTATGGTTTCTCTCCCCACCCCTCAGTCCTTGGTGAGTTGCTTCAGCTCAGCTTCAAGCTGCTCCCTTGCTTGATCGATCTTGATGATGTCCGGGTGCTCTTCCAACGCCTTGTTGAGGTCTTTGGGTTTTGCTTTCACTTTCTTTGCCAGAGATGTCGAATTCTCCACGATGCGGCTGCGAAACTCCAAAAGCTCCGCAAGCACTGACCTGATCTCGTCAGCTCTGGTACCCGCGCTGTTCGCGTCGCACATGGAGACCTTCAAAGGAGAGCGGTTGACCAGAGCATTCTGAGACAGAGGGAGACGAAGCGAGAGGGAGGGCGAGGGCGAGGGGGCGAGGAAGGCAGAGGCAGCTGACGCCATGAGCGCGAGGCCAGCGACTCGTCGTGCCATGGCGGCCGATAAATGTGTCAGAGAAGCTTTCGGAGACAGCAGCACTACCCTACCATCAAGACCACCCTCCTGCTTGACTACCCCTCCATTCATCACAGCAAGCCTTCTATGACCCCTTTTTTCCCTGTTGTAAAACCCGTACCTTGACTACCCACAAATGGCTACACCCACCCCCACCCCCATTCACTCGAAAACAACTGTCCTGGTCAACAGTCCTATGAGGACCCTGAGGCAAGCCCGTATTTTCATTAACTAAAACATCACTCTAGCAGGAAGCATCAGTGAGTCATAGAACATCTAGCGGGCGATGCTGCTGCGACTTCCTTTCCTGCTGAGAGTCGCGGTGTAGGAAGTTCTCGTAGACTCTGACCGCCAGTCCGTCCCCTCCCCGTCAGAGTCAAAGGAGTCCGGTGAGTCCTCCCGGGTGAAGGCGTAGAGTAGCTTGCTCGTGTGCGCGCTGGAGAGCTCGCTGGTGACCAGCTTCTGTTGTACGAACGTGGTGACCACGTCCTCAGCCTGCAGCTCCTCCTGTGCAAGCAACTGTCACAACAGCGAAGAGAAGATGGTCACAGGAAGATGATGCATACTTCGTCCTCCTCCTCATCTGATGCAGACAGGACGACCTGCGGCTTCGGATTCGGAGCGAGCCTCCTTTCAGCAAGCTCAATGTAGTCGACCTCCATCTCCCTGGTCGCGTCCTTCCTCCTCACTCGCAAGTTGTGCCTGCACCATCTCAGCACATCTCCTTCGACACCTTCGACGCACTTCTGCAGCTTGACAAGAAAATCTTTCTCAGCTTGTTCCAAGGTAGGGACTGAGTCTTCTCTGCAGCTACCATCAGGTTCTCGTGCATCAGAGGAAGGAAGAACAATGGAAGAACACGCTTGCTCCGCACCTCCCCGTCAACTTCTGTTTCTGCTGCTTTGAGCTTCTTTCGCGGAGGCTCCTGGACGCCGACGACCCTCGTCTGCCCGTTCGGCCTAACACCGCGCCTGCGGTTTCACCTGGTCGAGGTTGCTGCTGCTGGAACTTCCCGTCCCCCGTTATGCTGAGGTGTCTCAGGTCGACGATGTCTCCACTCGCAGTCAGAATTCTCTCTGCCCTCCTCTGCTGGACCTTAGCAGCGCCATATGTGGGGTCCTGACGGTTGGGGCGAATGAGAACGACAGACAGTACAAGCCTTGACGAGTGCTACCTGACAAGCGCTTCTTTGCCTGCCCTCGCGTTCTCTCCTCCTCTCCTCCAGCCAAGCGTCTATCGCTCCGCCTGATGGCTGCGAGGCATGATAGACGACACCGCTGACTTCCTCGAGAGGGAGTACAGGATGACCTTGACCTGCCGCAAAGAGGTCAGGAGTTGCGTCAAAACAAGCAAAAGCGTGCCGCTTCCTAGACTTGATCGTATTAGTGCCATCTGTGCGACTGCCGTGTCGTGCGCTTGCTGCTCCAACGCCTTGAGCCGCCTCTCAATCCTCTGCTCGTCCGACTTGTCTGTCTCTGCAGAAGAGCATCAAGAAGAGAAGGAGCCCTGGACGGGAGGGGAGCGTGCCTGAGAGCGGCCAGTGCTCCTTGTACACCTGGTACTTGCTGTACGCCATCCTCATGGCGTCCTGCTCCATGCCCGTCGGCATCGGCGGGGTTGGAGGTCTAGCCATGTTGATGGTGGGTCAGGCAGTGGAACAGGGGGTAGGGTGATTTAAAAGGGAAAGAGTGGGGTGGGTGGGTAAATTGATAGGCAAGATGCGACCGGATGGAGGCGTGGCGAGGGAGGGGGACGGGAGGACAAGATGCAGCGGGGAGAGAGGAAGAGAGGAAGAGATACTGAGGAGGAGAGGAAGAGACTGAGATCCCGATGAGGGCGGCGCTGCGTGCCAAGACGAGGTCGAGTACTGAGACCAGTTTCGATCCCAACATGTCTTCCTTGACCCTCCTGCTCTTGACGGTGGTCCTGATGCCCCAAGGAGCGGGTGGTGAAGCGAACTTGCGCTTGATCGACTCGCATCCTATTGTTGCGCTCACAGCATGTCTGCGGCTGCGAGGAGGATCACAACCTGATGGAGACATGGAGGCCTTCAAGCGGGAACTTGAACGTTTGAATGAGATGCAGGGGGGGGAGGAGGGGTACGATGCTGAAGTTCGCTCAAGCGACATCAGTGAAGGCACCGACTCAAGTGAGTGGATCAGCCCGCGTGCTCGTGAGTTGATGTCGGGGGGGCAAAGCAAGCGAGCAGCTCCAGCGGTGGCGCAAGTTTCAACGCCTATGCCTAAGAAGAAGAGAGCAGAAGTGGTAGAGGAGGAGACCGTTCAAGCCCCAGAGGATCTGCCGCTTGGAGATGGCGCGAGGTGAAGGAGGGAGAGGAGTGAGGAGGAGAGCCTGACTTGAAGCAGGTATGATCGGCAAACGCGAGAGCATCTCGTCAGCAAGCACGACGCCAAGGCAGGCATGCGTGTGTCTCTCTCCACCCGCGCGCTTGTCAACAGCTCTCGAGCTGATTTCTTCTCGCGCTATCGGTGACGCCCCTCTACCCTCCTTCACCTTCACCCTCCTTCAGCCTCCTCGATCCTGCTCGTTTCTGTTTCTCTCTTGCTGACGCTCTGCGACGTCAGAGGTCTGGTGGGCGTGTTGGAGGAGCCGGTGGATGAACGTCAGCTGGCCTGGTGCTGGGAGATGCCGGGCAGGTGCGAGCTGAGAGATGCGCAGGTGGGTGAAGTTTCCAGGGTTCCCTTGCGACTTCTTCATGACGGGGCAAGAGAACGAGTTTCACCTCGCGTATGCTCGTGAGAAGAACGTGGGGTTCAGCTCGAAATTCATGCAGAAGCACGCCTCCTCCTCCCTCTCCTCCCTCCCAGGTCAGCTCTCCCTGCTTGCAAGGTGAATGAAAGCTGGTCAGGGCTGGCCAATCGCTCGAGGCTCGTCACGGACATGCTGTGGAACGCGACGATGACCGGGGATGTCGATGGGATCACAGAAGCGATCATGGTGATGAGAGGAGGAGGTAGAAGGGGTGAAGAAGGGGAGGGTAAGGAGGAGGAGGAGGAAGGGGTGAAGAAGGGGAGGGTAAGGAGGAGGAGGAGGAAGGGGTGAAGAAGGGGAGGGTAAGGAGGAGGAGGAGGAAGAGTTGAGCGCAGGGAGGGATGAGGAGAGAGAGGAGACGAGAGGAAGAGGCAGAG